AAAGCGAAATATTTCACGGAATTACGTTTCATAAGCGCTTATGAATTAAATCGATATAGTAACTTGAAAGAGATAGCACAAGAGAAGGGATGTTTCAGTTATGTACCTTCAATAAATACTATTTTTATTAATTTAGCTTCTCGATCGCAACTATCGCCAGGCGAATTTGTGAGAGCGCTGAATATATTTTGTGGTAAAATTAAGATAAAAGAAGTATACTTCATTAAGACCGAGAAAAATAATATATTTGTGGAAAAATTAGTTAAAGAAGTTAAGAACGTAAGTAATTGGTCCGGACCACGTATATGTATTTTAAGCGGTACAAAGAGGATAACTAATAAAGATGATCAACGTGTAATCTTAAATGATTTTCATATTTTGCCCACAAGTGGCCATGCAGGTATAAGACGAATGGTTAATAACATAAAGAAATATTATTTTTGGCCAAAATTAGAGGTTGATGTTACTGAGTTTGTAAAAAGGTGTGACCAATGTCAAAAACAAAAACATTCGTTACACCATACTAAACAGCCTATGACTGTTAGTTCAACGGCAAATTCAGTGTTTGAAAAAATATATTTAGACATAGTAGGGCCGTTAGATAGAGATTACTATAATTATGTGTACATTTTAACTATACAATGTGAGTTGAGCAAATATGTTGAAGCTTATCCATTGATGTCAAAAACTTCAACTGAAGTAGCCAGAAGTTTTGTAAATAATTGGATTCTTAGATATGGTATCCCAAAAGAGATAGCAACAGACAGGGGAACGGAGTTCTTGTCAAATACAATGAAAGAGGTTTGTAAACTTTTACATATTAACCAGTTGCAGTCTACCGCATACCATCATCAAAGTATCGGTGCCTTGGAGAACTCACACAAACATATGGGTAACTATTTACGAATTCAGACAGAAAATCACCCGGAAACATGGAGCACGTGGCTTCCATTTTGGTGTTTCTCTTATAACACTGCGGTACAGACGGAGACTAAGTTTATTCCTTTTGAATTGGTGTTCGGTAAAAAGTGTAATTTACCCTCTAATTTACAATCAGGACAAATTAAACCTTTGTATAATTCTGATAATTATCCTTTAGAATTAAAATTTAGAATACAGACGTCACAAAAAGAAGCCGAAGAGCTGTGGTAGCTCAGTGGTTAACGCTCGCTGTAAATATAACAGAACGCGAGTAACCCGGGTTCGATCCCCGCCGACACCAATGAAATTGTTAATTATAATTTTAAGTGCTGATTTACCACGTGCTCGGCGGTGAAGGAAAACATCGTGAGGAAACCTGCATGTCTGAGGAATAAGAATAAAAAAATATTTCGAAGACATGTGAAGTTCGTCAACACGCATTTGGGCAGCGCGGCGGACACTTCCTTGCCCTAAAACCCTCTCAGAAATGAGGGGAGGCCTGAGATCAGCAGTGGGACGTATATAGGCTGTAACTTTACTCTACTTTACTTTATATACACAATGTAACCTAATTGTAACTATTTAAGGATTAATGATTGCAAATATATTCAGTATTTATTCAGCAGTCTTGGTTTTCATTTCTCTCTCGTGTCACCACATTACACGGTGATGATGGTCGCTACAGTAAAATTTTCCTTCAATTCCTTAATAAGTAACTTCATCCCATTGCACACGCTCGGGGGGCTTAAATTTCTCAAAAGCATGATTGGTGTTCCGATTTTAACGTCAATTCGTGTGGTGGTGGTCCGTAAGGGTTTAGTGAATTTGAAAATTCCTGTGGGTTATGGACTACGTCTTCGATGTTAGTCACTATGTCGATTGATTTGTAATTTTTTATTTGGCCGGGGACTTTTAGAATAATCAGATTTATTTCGTTGACAGTATCATTCCTAGGCGACATGACACTATTGCTCTAGAATACAACCAATGAAAGTTCTTTTCGTGCAAATTCTCGATGTCAGGGTATACTGCTTCTACAAAAATTTCTAAATTCTATTTGGCCTAGAGACTCGTCCTGATGGACGTCAATATTTCTGCTTAAATTTGGAGTGGGAAAAATTTCTTCCCCAAGTTTTAGCAGCTCTTTTGGGAAAGCACTATCTGTGATTACATGAATATGAGCGCTCAAATTTGTCCGTAATTTAAATTTTTAATCGAAATCCATAAGGAAGACGGTTTCAAGCATGCTTTGATGATATCTGCTCGCGTACCTCCGTTAATGACGGGAAGAGTCTGTCGGAAATCTCCTGCAAATACAAAAGTGATCCCGCCCTTGAGAGCGGAGGAGTTTCAAAGATCTTTTAAGGATCTGTCCACGGCCTTTATATGTACTCTATGGCTCATGGTGCATTGATCCCACATAATCAATGAGGCGTCTTGTAGTAATTTACCAAGAAGCCTATTTTTGCGAATACAACATGTAGATTTTTGCCCAAGAGTTACGGATAACGGTAGTTTAAAAGTGTAATTTTATTTATTTATTTTATTTAAAAACTTAAACGTAACACCTTAAGCTAAAGGGGTACATAGGGCGGACTTAATGCCATGTGGCATTCTCTGCCAGTCAACCCTGGGTGCCAAGGACAATTGTTGGCAGGTGCGACCATTATACGTAAATAATTACATTAAAATATATACATACATTAAAATATACATATATGCAAAGTACATACATACACATTACATTTAAGTATATATACACATATAGTATAAATATACATACAATAATACATACATATATATATATATATATATATATATATATATATATATATATATATATATATATATATATATATATATATACATGCTTATAAACTTCGTAAATAAATATACAAATGAATGATATATATAATATGATGTTTGAATAATATATAATGAAATAAATATCTGAAGTAAAAAAGAAGAAATAAAGACAAAAATTAAGGAAAATAATGTTAATTAGTAGTTTCCTTCAGGTAATGTTCTCGGAGAAGAACTTTGAAGACTTTTTTATTTGCGGCATTCTTAATATCGTTGGGGAGGGTGTTCCAAAGTTGTATAGCTTGTATCGTAAAAGACGACCTAAAAAAATTTGACTTATGCTGTGGAAACCTTAACCTCAGACGGTTTGACTGTCGGGATGTTCGACCGTCGATCGGATGAAAAAAATAAAAATTATCCTTAAGATAAGAAGGCGACCTTGGATCGTTTAAAATTGAATAAAGTACAAGTAAAATTCTAGAGCATCGCCTTTGACGTATAGGTAGCCATTTAAGCTTTGAACGATAGGATGATATGTGGTCATACTTACGTAAACCAAAAATAAATCTTATGGAATTATTAAGAAGGCGCTCCAACTTGTTTAGAAGATTTTCTGATAGATCTGGGTAACATACATCGGCTTAGTCGATAATAGGTAGAATAAGGGAATGAACCAGCGTAAGTTTGGTTTTGAAAGGTAGGAAATTTTTAAGACGATAAAGGGAACGCAAGGTAGCAACAACTTTACGACTAACTTCAGAGATCTGCAATTTCCAGGTCATAGTTTTATCCATGTACAGGCCAAGATTTTTTATGGAGTCACAATAATGAGCAGCATTTACATCCTTTAAAAGAGTTGCAGCAATTCCTGATAAAATAACTGCTATCGCTATCTTCCCCAAATGTCGTATCTTAGCAAGGATGGTTGCTGAATTAACAAAGATTTAAAAAGTGAAAAATTTAATTGTTGGTTATGGATGGTACAGGCACTGACATAGACTTGAATATGAAGTGATTTATTTTAATATAACGATTAATACCAAGATACTAATAATATGGTCTAGTTTGTAATGGCGTTACTATTGCATACATTAACATGAAAAAGTAGTGTTTGTGACATAACTGTCATAGTTACGATATTTGGTATCGCAAATTTTTTGTAAATATTGATGCCCTCTGTAAAACTGTTGTACATCACTTTGCTCTATTGTCAACAGTTTCCGCAGCGTACGCGATATACGGATTCTTCGTCGTTACTATTGTATTTTTAGCATGAAAAAAGAGTTATTGTAACATAAGTGTAATAGTTAGACATATGGTAATGTCGGCGCACCTCGTCGCGCCTCGTGTGAGAACGGTAGACTTAGAGGGGCGGGCCGGTCGCTGACTCGATGACACTGCGGCAGCGCGAGCGCCACCGTTCCTCACTCAGCTGCGAGACGCGGTAGCAGACGGGCATTTCACCTTGCAATATATGTACATTTGTTTAAACGTTTAACGGCATTAAACCTATTGTTAATATAGTCCATTCGCTTTATTTGTAAAGGTCTCGATAAGGCCTAATCAGGTATCACGGACTTTTTTTGTAGATATTGATATCTTCTATAAAACTGTAGTACATCACTTTCCTCTATTGTCAATAGTTTCCGCAGCGTACGCGATATAAGGATTCTTTTGGTATTTTTTTCACGCCGCGGGTTACATTAACGAAGTTTTCATACGGATCCCTAATTTCTTGAAAATATGCTATAGCCTATGTTCATAAGAGATATCGTAGAATTCCAATGCTGAAAGAATTTTTCAAATCGGTCCAGTAGTTTTGGAGCCTATTCAATTCAAACAAACAAATTTTTCCTCTATATTATTATTATTTTTTTATTATTACTATAAGTTTTTTAAAAAAATTATTCATTTCTTTTTATATTTTTAGTACCAAACCTATCCATAGAATGTAAGTACCTATTTAGACTCGTAATTTATATTTTCATTAAGTTATTAACATTAAGTTTTATATTTATTTTTATAAGTTAAAAAAGCCAAATGTACTAATTTTTTTTGTCGGTGGGGTTGTAATATAGCCTCATAGCGACTATATAGTAAATATAGAATTAAGTTAAGAATAAAGAACTTATAATAATTGTTTATATAAGTTATCATTATGATTGTAAGACATATACGTATATATATATATATTAAGAAAATATTTAGTATTATATACTTAGTGTCATATGTTTAAAATTTAAAAATCTAACAGAATTTAAAATTTTTTGATTAAGGCTTTATACAGAAAGAAAACTGGAAACTTATAAGCGCTTACCGGCGCTTGACAGCGCTGGTAACCCGCGCAGGAAAATAAATGAACGCGCGCCGACAAGCACTGAACGGTGCCGACAAGTTCCGACAAGCTCCAACACGCGCTTGTCAGCGCTGGGTGCTGCCATTTAAAATTAATAATCAACTGCGACAACACGTGCAATTACGACAGGCATATTTATTATGATAAATATTAAAATGGATAGTGATGTGTTGATATCCTCAGTCTTCAGTAAGCAACCTGTGTGGGACAAAAGGGATAAAAGGCATTGTAATAGAAACGGTACTGACAAATGTTGGAAAGAAATAAGCGAGGCAATGAACGAAGACGGTAAGTATTAATTGATTTTATTTTTGTTTCTCGACTTAAGTAAAGTTAATAAACAGTTAAGTTTTATAAGTCTTTATTTAAATATGTCTGAATAAAATATTATTTAGGTCATAGCTATTCCATTAATGTTAGTGAGGGTAGATAAAGTTAAATAATTAATTGTTGTAAGTCAATTTATTGTGTGAAAAATAGTCAACATCAATATTTCTTATATCCATTGTTTCATTTGTAGGGTGATTTGCTCTATTCCACCTTAAATGTGTTGTATTTACAGGAGTAAAATTTCGGTCAGTACCTTCTTTATCGATTATAGTGTTGTGTAAAACACAAATACATTTAACAATTTTTTCTGCTAAATGTTGATTTACATTCAATGCATTTAAAAAGTAGTCGCCATTTTGAGTTTGCTATGCCGAACGCACAGTCAACACATTTTCTGGCTCTCGATAGAGGATTATTAAAATTTTTTGGTCTGAAGACAAATCTCGGTCACCAAAAGGTTTTAAATATTTTAGCAATGGATATGCTTCATCGCCTATGGTTACGCGGAAACGATTCGTGTATTTTAATTTTGTTCGAGGGTATATTTGCCAAGTGTTTATCCTTCCTTTGACCTTACGTCCCTTCCGTACACACTGAAAGGGGAAAAGGGGGATTCTACAAGGTGCCGCGATTCTTTCGACCAATGAGACGCGCGCCCGATCGAGGTGCATTGGTGGGAAGCCGAGGCAATATAGGCTCGCGCGCTGCCCTCGAGCGGCCTCTTGCCTTCGCGCCGCTAGTCTGAACCGCACCACCTGGGGCAGTCGCATCCCAGAAGAACCCACCTCACGTCGCATCACCACAACGGAAGTGTCGTCCGCCGCGTCATAATCACACCCCGGTAAGTGTGTTTTCCTGTAATTTTGCTCCTACTTGAGCATTTTGTTTGTTAGTTAACCCGCCCCATTTTGTTTCTCCTAATGTGCTCAAGTAGAATTCCATCCTAACCTTGGCAAGCAATAGATTTGGAAGAGCGAGTGCATTGTCCAAGTCCGCCATCTTGTTGAGACATAAGAAGTCAACCGCGTATACAGTCCACCTAGTATAACATCTCTCACAATAGGGTTAAGGATCGACCTGGGAATCGAACTCGGGAACACTTAGGCCCGCCGCCCAACCATCCTATAAAAACATACGGTGCTTTCACGTCGTTCCTGGAAAATATTCCGGTTCTGGAATATCCATCTCCCCGGTATGTAAATTTTTATATAGTTCGGAAGCCTTAACCCTATAAAGCTAACGTTCGTCAAAACGACGAGCATGCAATAAATATTTCTATTTCTTTCTTTCGTTGTTTTACTTACATATTTGTGCTTTCGCACCAACTCAGTACGCACTGGACTGCGTCACGTGGTAGTCGTCTTAAGCCGGTAAGTATTTTTATTTTAGAGATACGTAATAACTGTTCGTAATTTTGACGAACGGTTAGCTTTCGTGTAACTTTTACTCCTACTGTGATGTTGAATTTTGATTTGCATTTTATCAGTTTTTTGCGTTATTTTTGTTTTAGTTATTGTTTTAATCACGGAAAATGGCTGGAAGATTAACTCTTTCGGATGAAGAAATAGCTCGGGCCTTAGATAATGTAGACGAAGCCTTCACAAATGACGGGTCAGATAGTGAGGGGGATGAAGACGAATTATTGATCGATGACGTAGAAAGTGATTACCATGACGAATCCTCTGACACTGAAGAAGTTGAAGAACAAGAAAGAAGATAATTTTCAAAATCAGTAAGTGTGTCACAAATAAACCCTCCGGCTTCATCAGCTTCCAATTATATTATTAGTTTGACTCAAACTACCATTCGAAGTAAAAATCGTCATGTATGGACTACTTAAAAAGTACGTACATCTTCTCGAACTTCTGCGATAAATATCGTTCGCGTGGGTAGAGGACCAACCCGTTCTTTGAGATCCATAACAGACCCGCTGGTTTTGTTTAATTCTTTCATAACTAATGAAATCTGTGAGGAAATTTTAGAGTGGTCCAATGCAGAAATAGTTTTAAAAAGAGAAGTCTATAAGAATTTGACATCGACTCAAAAAGATTTATGCAAAGAAGAACTCAACGCACTTTTTAGTGTCTTGTTGTTGGCAGCTGCGATGAAAGATAACCACCTAACAACCGAAGAATTGTTCAACCCGGCTTTTTATGGGTCCCGATACATGTCGTGTATGAACCGAGAAAGATTTGAATTCCTCATAAGATGCCTAAGATTTGATGATAAATTTATAAGACTACGAACTTTGCAATCTGATCCTCTTACACCGATTCGAAAGATATGGGAATTATTAATGGAACAGTGTCGCAGCAATTATGTTCTTGGAACCAATGTCACCATCGATGAACAACTGTTGGCATTTCGCGGTCGATGTAAGTTAAAAATGTACATCCCAAATAAACCTGCTAAGTATGGTTTAAAAATTGAAATGATGTGCGACAGTGGCACCAGGTATATGGTAGATGCCATGACTTACTTAGGAAAAGCGACAAACGCTGGTGGTCTTCCCCTTGGAGAATATGTTGTCAAGGAACTAACACGAAGTATTCATGGCTCGAACCGAAACGTAACTACTGATAACTGGTTTACGTCTATTCCATTAGCTAAACAATTGCTACAACAACGTTTCAAATTGACGTTAGTATTAACATTACGAGCTAACAAAAGAGAAATACCAGAAGAAATGAAAAATCACCGCGGTAGAGTGGTTGGCACATCTTTTTTTGTTACAATGGACCTCTAACGCTATTGTCGTTCAAACCAAAGACAAACAAAATGGTTTATTTGCTTTCATCTTGTGACGAAGAAGGAGCTGTGAACTCAACCACAAAACTCCCCAGCATAATCGAGTTCTACAATAACAGAAAAGGCGGAGTAGACACATTTGACCAGATGTGTTCAATAATGTCTTGCAATCGAAAGACTAATCGGTGGCCCATGTGCATGTTCTATGGCATGTTGAATATATCGGGTATTAACTCTTACATCATTTATTGCCATAATGTCCTGGTAGCTGGTGGTAAGCCACTGTCACGAAGAAGCTTCATGAAACAGTTGCATGAGCAACTTGTCGAACCATGGTTAAAGTGCCGTCTGCAAACCACAACTATGCCTCAAAGAATTAAGGACAAAATAAAAGATGTGTTGGGTTTAAACCAAGAGGACCAGACTATTGAAGGGGCCCAAGGTTGTGAGCCATGTGGTTCTGGAAGTTCAGCAGCATCTGAAAGACCTTCAAACAATAAAAGAAAGAGTTGCGGTTTGTGCTCTTACAAAAAAAGACGAATGACAAAGAACCAATACCATACTTGCAACATTCCTATTTGCGGCGAACATTCGGTTGATTTTTGTCCTAATTGTGCCAAAAAAAAATGTGTTACTATGTATTTTAGTAATTTAACTCTTTATTTTTTATAATTTTGAGAAAAAAGCTTCTTTTTTCTAATTCAAAATTCTTTATTAGTCATTTAAGTTGAAATTGCCTTATTGATCTCAATAAATACGTGCCATGTAAAACTTATAATTGTAACCAACACATTCAATCAAAATATGTTAGACATAGAGAGGCAAAAACTGGAGTATTTAAAAAACAAAAGAAGTCAAAATAAAAATGATGATAATTTATTGTTCCTAAAGAGTCTCCTACCTCATATTCGCAAGAATCCTCAAGACGACTGCTGTCATTTCGTAATGACATTCAAAAAACAGTAGATGATTATGCATATCAGTCACGTTTTTCTTCACACTCATCTCTCTATAGGTACTCGCCGTATACGCCATCACCACCACCATTTACACATCAATCACCAGATACACACACCACTCGATTGATATCAGCAACACTCCAGTCACCACCATTTACACATCAATCACCAGATACACACACCACTCAATTGATATCAGCAACACTCCAGTCACCACCAATCACAAATCAATCATCAGATACACACACCACTCAATTGATATCTGCAACACTCCAGTCACCACCAATCACACATCAATCTCCAGATACACACACCACTCAATTGATATCAGCAACACTCCAGTCACCACCAATCACACATCAATCACCAGATACACACACCACTCAATTGATATCAGCAACACTCCAGTCACCACCAATCACACATCAATCACCAGATACACACACCACTCAATTGATACCAGCAACACTCCAGTCACCACCAATCACAAATCAATCATCAGATCTAAACAATTATTTTCATTCATTCACTGAGAGCATATCAGAATACCTTAGTGAGGATCATAATTAAGAACAACTTTTTATAAAAATGTGAATTAGAAATAAAATCTAATTTTTCTACCAAGGATTCTTGGATCGATCTAATTATTACATCTTCTAATGAAGTTGCGAGTTATGGTCAGTTCCCAGCTCCTGGTTTTTCGATCCATGACTTGTTATTTCTCTCATATAAATTAAAACCACCTAAACATATCCCTCATACAATAAAGTTACGTAGCTGTGCTCGATTAAATAGAGATAGCTTAATTAATGATGTGTCCGCCATTGATTGGTCTCCAGTACTAAATACTGACTCAATTAATGATATGGTTATGGAGTTTAATTCTAAATTATTGTATATTTTCAATACACATGCGCCAGAACGCGAGGTTAAAAAGAAACGTCCATCAGTACCGTGGATCACTAGCGACGTACGCCTGGCAATGAACAGACGCAACAGAGCTTTTGTCACATATAAATCGTGCCGTACTATACAGAACTGGGAGGCCTTCAAAAAGGTTAGGAATCGCTGCAATCAGGTGGTGAGGTCTGCTAAACGCCGATATTTTCATGACTTCCTAATTAATTCTTCGCAATCGGAGACATGGAAGTTCATTCACTCTCATGGTCTCAGTAAAACTAAAAAACTAGTAATATCATATATTTTCTCATTAAATGATCTCAATGTTCACTTTTCTACAGCGGCTAGTCTCCCATCTCACATTAAAATGAAAACTATTTCGGATATTACTTCCATGTCATCCCCGCATACTGATTCTTTCTCTTTTTCTGTTGTCACTGAGAAGGATATTTTAAAAGTATTACAAAAACTTAAGTCAAAGGCAGTAGGTCATGACAACATAGGAAGAACCATGATATCATATGTTTCAGATCATATTTTACCAATTTTAACCTCCATTATAAACCGCTCATTGCTTACTGGGAAGTTTCCGTTATGCTGGCAGAAGGCTTTTGTTCTTCCTCTTCCAAAAATCTCTATGCCCAGTGCTCTCAATCACTTCCGGTCTATCTCGATTTTGCCGGTTTTATCAAAAGTCTTAGAAGCTGTAGCGCTCAAACAGATACAAACTCACTTAACCAAAAGCAACTTACTGAATCAACACCAATCAGGATTTAGATCTGGACATAGCACCACAACGGCGCTTTTAAAAATAACTGAGGATGTGCGTGATGGCATGGAGTTTGGAAAGTTGACGGTGTTAGTTTTAATAGATTTTTCTAACGCCTTTAATACCGTTGACCATGATATTCTCATCGCCATCTTGTCTTACATAGGTTTTTCCTTGTCAGCACTGAATTGGGTCTCCTCCTATCTTCGTTGTCGCCAGCAGGCGATTCGGGTCGATGGTATGGTGTCCGATTGGGGTGAAATAACCACTGGTGTTCCGCAAGGTGGAATTCTCTCTCCTTTACTTTTCTCTATATTTATTAACATGATTACTTATAATTTTCGTGCTTCCTACGCCGATGCCTACATATGTATGCCGACGACTTGCAACTCTATGCTACTTCCATAAATAATGATGTAACCGTGATTAACTCCGATCTTAACTGGATTCTTAATTGGTCGAAAGAAGGTATGGGGTCGCTGTTAATCCAAGTAAATGCCAAGCTATAGTCTTAGGCAGTGCACGTAATTACGTATATACGTATATAATAACGTAATAACGTAATTTGGTAAACTTAATCATACATCGTTCGATCCTCTGATCTATAATGGCGAGGTAATTCCTTACAGCTCTCAAGTTAGGGACTTGGGATTAACCTTGGATTGTTCACTTACTTGGCGCAGTCATGTTGAGGAAGTTAGCCGTAAAGTTTGTACTACTTTGAGACAATTGTACAGATATAAAAATATCTTACCGCCTTGTACGAAAAAAATTCTAATTCAATCGCTAATTCTTCCTATGTTTGATTATGCTGATGTGTGTTACTTAGATGCAGACAAATACTTGGTCAATAAATTGGATCGGCTTCTCAACAACTGTATCCGTTTCATTTACGGTCTTCGAAAGTATGACCATATCTCTTTCTATCGCTCTCAACTTAAATGGTTAAATATCCCACAACGCAGGAGCCTTAGAATTCTTAGCACTCTGTTCAGTATTCTTAACGATCCATTGGCCCCAGAGTATTTGAAATGTAAGTTTCAATACCTGGGTTCTTCCCATGATTGCAATCTTCGCTGTCGTAACAATCTCGTACTCTATACTTCCTCTCACCGTACTGGTTTCCTCTCAGACTCTTTCGCTGTTACAGCTGTAAGACTCTGGAATGCGCTTCCTCTAGCAATAAGAAAATCCCCCAACAAATGGATTTTTAAAACAAAGGTAAAGGAACATTATAAGTTTGAGCTATGAGTATGTATGTGTGTGGTGTGTGTGTGGAGGGGGGGTGAAGGTGTATGTGTATGTGAAATTTATCAATTTTAGGTTTCATTCTAGCCCACTGCAGTACACGCATCGCCCACTAACTTTCCGGCTGGTAGAAAATGCCATATGGCATTAAGTCCGCCGTTTGTACCTTTAGTACAATAAAGTGTAAAAAAAATATATTACCCTAAAACGGTTTTTTTTCTGAAAAAATAAAACTACTTATAAACGTCAACTTTTGTTATTGAGATCAGATTGACCGATATCTATATATCTATATATTCTATCTATCTATCTATATATATATATATATATATATATATATATATATATATATGTGTATATATATATATATATATATATATATATTCATTTTTACTTATCATCAAAGTCACCTTAAAGGTCAGAAGTTATTATATAAAACAAAATATTTTAATATTTTTATAAATCTACCTAATATATAAATAACTTTATCTTTGAATAAATAAGCGATAAATATATTTGTTTTACACTTACCGAATGGTGACAACAAGTCTTTCTTCTGGAAGGATTGGTTGTTTATGCCAATTACACCAATTTTTCATCAAATGGTTTTTCACTAAATCCAAAATATAATCAAATGTTTCTTGAGACATTCTTGTATATTTATAAAATCTTTCATCATCAAATTTCAATTTATTTACAAATAAATGATGGTACTCTCGGAAATGTTTCCTTTCTCTATTAATGGGGTGTATAGCTTCTTTTCGCATTTTTAAATACACATTTTCTAACAAAACCAAATCATCGTCCGATGAGTCCAACATTTTTGCTTCGTCTGCTTCCTTTGTGTAGAACGGACCAGCGCTGTCAAGCGCTGGTAAGCGCTTATAAGTTTCCAGCTTTCTTTCTGTATATAGCCTAGGGAAGGAGATATGGTGTAGGTACTATGACAAAGCAATAAACTGGAATATTAAATCATACCATCACTCAACGTGGACTCCATATAAGAAGTAGAAATAATATCTATTTAGTGCAGTATTATCATATTATATTTATAGAAGAAGACACCATTCATTTGCCTCTACCTGGAAACACGTAACACAACCCTAACCCCTACCTATGCACCTACGTCACAATTACTGTAAAGTCACCACCAAATCAATAGAGAATTATTAAACCGCATCAGTGAGTCTAATTTCGTGCATAGTCCCAACATTACAAGGTGTTTATTGCATTAAGATCTCCACACATTACTCTATTTAGGGATAAAAAATTACTCTTACTTTCTCCTTTTTTGATACGGATCCCAAATACATACCGACATAAAAATCAACCTTTTCAAAAACTTTTATTTTTTATAGAATAGCATGGATGACTGTGTATTTATAAATAAGATGGCCAAAATATGCCCCAAGCTGAAAAATAAGACTATTGCTATTCATTTAAATAAAATAAAAAAATAATTTTGAATAACTATTAACATTTCATAGCAGCTGTTGAAAAAAAATCAAGTTTAAAAGTATTTAAAGTGATTTCTTCTCTTTGAAGTCACTCTATAGCACCTTTAATGTGGCCATATAATACTTAAAAAGATCAAAGTAGGGAAAAAACAATAGATAACTCATAAAATACTTTATTTATGATATGTTATGTATAAAAACAAGCCTTCAGTTAACCTCTCGTCAGTCCAAAACCTTCTAAAGTTTGCTGTCAAAAAGTACGCATCTGTCAACAACCATCAGAAGGTTGCTGTTTACTTATAAACTTCAGATTCGAAACAGCCCTAGTAAAAGTATACGTATCTCCCTATAACTGGTACAACATGCAGAGAATTAAACAAAGATGGCAATTAATATCACACACGCTTCATAAACGAACCATAGAAGCCGTGAAATAGTAATACATTTATTCCGTTCAGTTGCTCGTTCTGTGACGCGGTGTCGTGTGTTTACGTGCAAAGTATTAATTGTTGAAAGTGATTTCGGAAGTAAATATTAAAGATAAACATGAATGGGTAAGTATAAATACTTTTTTTATTAATTTAAAACATATTAGATGACGATTTGTACATAAATTGTTCCATTTTATCAAACACTGCTTGCCATTTCGACCGACATGTTGATAACATGTTCGTATTAATTTCAATTGTTTTAAATTAAAAGTACAATTTTGAATGGTAAACATTATTTTAATATCGTTAACATACTTATTTACAAACATAACAATAATTACAATTGTATAGTTTTGATTAAATATTTTATAAAACTAAAAATAACAAATTACTTAAATCTCGCGTCCACCTGGCGGTCGCGGACAAACATGGGTCGTAAAGTTATTCACACGAAATCAGCCATCTTAGAGAGCAGGTTGTATAGTATGGATACGATTTTGGGAATGCTAGTGTTGGTATATTTTTACGATAATTTTTGGTGTGGATTTTTATTTGTTTTTCTTATTTGGTTTGTTTTATTTTTTTTGTTAGTAAATTGTTTTACTTGTTGTGTGTGCATGTCATTATATTTTTTGCACTTGGTTGACAAGTGAAACAAGACGACCGAGGACTCGCGGTCCGCGACGCGGTAGAGGTGCGCGAGTCCGCGGTGGGAGAATGTCGGCGGCGGCGGTAGGTTTGCTGGTGGAAGTGGTGGTAGCGCGCGGTTGCGGAGGCCGTGGTGGAAGACCAAATGTAAAAAAAGGGTACACACGTTCTTTGTGGCTTGCAACACATCTGTATGTATAGAACCTTGCTTCCTTCAACTTCACTCATAAAATATTATATTTATTTGCCATCATCATTATTATTATTATCATCATTATTCATCAACAGCCCCTAACTAATTTTTTTGTCGCATCCTCGTTCTTTAACTATACAGTAAGGCTCTATATATATATATATATATATATATATATATATATATATATATATATATCCCTCTTCTATAAAAAAGGCCGCCTAACTGTAATTTCTTCTTTGTAATTTGCTTTGTTTTTTTGGTCCTAGTACTTACTAGAGTAATATTTTCACTAAGCAATAAAACCGCCTAATTGTACTTTATTTGTAATTTGACCTGCATTTTTTGTTCGTGTACGTATTTTTTCGAATTTCATGTTCAAATGATTCAGCAATGGCTTTTTATTTTTATTTTAAATTTGAAAATCTGTCAAAATAAGAAATTTACTATTTGTCCAAGGTTGTTTAAAAGAGATTGCTATTATGTGGCCAACTAACTGTAATTTCTATTTTATGATTATTGTTTTCACTCTTAGCCCAAGGTTATCTGGAAGAGATTGCTTTTTGTACGTAGTAGTTTTTATTGCTAAGCAATAAGCCTTAGCTCGTTGCGGTGCTATAGTTGGAATAGCCTCAAAGTACGAAACGGTCACCCATCCAGTTGCAAGCTAACGCGTGCATTGCTTAACCTTTGTTATGGATCTCACACGCAAGCTATCACTAGGCTAGGGTCACTTCAAATTAAGTAAAATTAAAAAAATCAAAATAACAAAAATAAAAATCCTTTATTTTAGCAAAAAAGAATTGTCAAACATTTTTTTATAATAATATTCAAATGTTAATTAAAAATATAAAAAAGCAAAGAAAAATAACTAATTTGTCACCACAGAGCGTATCCACACTAGCATAGCTGGGTACTACGTCATACTTGGTACTTTTTGTAGTGAATGTGTAAATTTTAGTTGTTGATTTCTAATATAATTTTGTATGAAAGATGCCTTCTTTGTTTTGTTTTTAACTTAGAAAATGTTATTAAATTTAGGAATATACATTCACATGTAAATAAATTACAAAATTGTTCGTTACAAATGCAAAAGTTTGAGAACATTTTTTTAGGGTCACTTTTTCAAGTGTTTGTTACAACTCGTTCATTTCTTAATAACTAAATAGTTGTAACATTTGAAACTGTTTATATTAAGAACAAAGACCAAACTATAGAATAAGTTAAGATTTAAAGCCCATTGTGCCTCAGGCGTCGTCTATATTGAAGTACAAAATGTGCCTTTTTTTGTGCCTGTTTCGGGTCATCTTAAGTGGCCCATACATTATTGTCGAGCTTGTGGTGTGAAAAAACTGTATGTAGAGTTGTGTTTTTTTTTTATTCACTATTGTAAAGTGTGTTAAATGAAGTAAATATTTATTGAAATAATTGCTTAATTTTTTAATGATTACATTTTATATTCAACAACCTGGAAAAAAATCGCTTCTAGCAATTTTACCATCTGATTTATAAAAAGGTGAACGTACACATTTACACATATTCTATTAGCTTATTTAACAATAATTCTAAGAACATATTATATTATATAGTTTCGATACATAAATATTAAGATAGTGCCATTTTAATGACACGCGCCACGTAGGCAATATATCACTCGTTTAGGGTTTGACAAATGCGCTAAAGTGGCTATTTTGGCCCGGACCGCTGAGAGGTTAATGAATTAATACATCAAAATAATCAAAATACACTAAAGGATAGGATTTTATTTATTTGTTTAATTTTTTTAGTTATTTTACTTTAAGGTAAGACCTCACTAGATGGAACTGCACTGCAGCGCAACTGCGCAACACGACGCGTCAAAATATTCTTTATATGAAATTATATGAGACAACACGTACTAAGCGGCAACGGAACTACACTGCATCAGAAATGCGGGACAAAGTTGATCAAATCACCAAAAGTGTCGCGACGTGTAGTTCCGTTGCCGCTTAGTGCGGTTTGACAAACTTCATTTTCATAGTCAGTCAAACAAGATACTCGGAAGCGCGTAATCGGTTGTCAAAAATGTCGATTGATGAAGAAAAATTAATTATACTCATGAGCCAGTATCCTGAGATATATGACGTCCAGCATGATAATTATATGAACACTTCCAGAAAAAAACCAACTTTGGAATCAAATAGCCCAAGAAATGGGAGTAAATGGTAAGTAATTGTGTATTTTTTTTGCTGTGAATGGATGTCGGCCTCTCCAATAATAATTGGTTTCATATTGTTTAGCTTGGGATTATAAAAAGACCTTTATTAATTTGTTATGAAAGTGTACGTAGCAAGAATAAAATAAGTAAATATTTTCCATTTTTTAAAATACAGAATGAAAAATAAGTACCTATTTTAATAAAAACATTTTATAAAGTGTAAAATGTTTTTATTAAAGGTAGGTACATAATTTAAAGGTATTGAGGTACTATTTCTGTATTTCACTCTGGGGCCCGTTTCACAAAACTACAATTTACAAATTACAAGTGCAATTCGATGTGTACATTGCGTAGCGTATTTGTCATTTAAGAAATCGGTTTTAAAAATGCCGAATTAGCCACGTAATAAACTTCGAATTGTACTTGTAATTTGTAAATTGTAGTTTTGTGAAACCGGCTCCTGATGTCGGCCCCTGTTTATGCTCTTAGCCCGGCTAAACTACCTTGAGATGAATTGAAGTAATTTTTGAAAGTATTTCGTACTTTGATAGCGTTGTTTACAAAATTACCTCCAATACGAGGAAGATCTCGTAATTGGCAATCCTGATTGTCAGTGTCTTCATTACGAAATGACACTGTATGATGTCTAAGAAAATTGTGCAGGACACAGGTAGCAAGAATTACATTATCTACGTGATCCGGACTGATGCAGATGTTGCGATAGTAGATTCGGAATTTTTGGCATAATATGCCAAATGCGTTTTCTCAAACTCTTCGGACTTTACTATGCCTCTTATTGTATATTCTGCGTCGGTCATAATGCAATGGTGGAAAGGGTGCTTCAAAAAATAAGAAATGAAAGTACGAGAATCATATGGAGTTTTTAAAACAATACCCTTACGAAAGAAAAACAAGGAGTAGCTTTGGGGACACTGGATCAATTACAAGTAATGATAATGTCTCTAATGAAAATTTTCCTCACGAAATGGTCCCGATCAGCCCCGAGCCAGCAAACTCACCTTCACCTTCATCATCAACATCAACGATGTTCAAAAAAATATCAGCAAGAAAAAAATCAAACAAGTGAGCCATCTGTAGCCAGCGTTCTACAGAAATATATGGAGTCACGGTCATCTACAATTACTATACAAGATATTGAGAACCCTATATATTCCTTTTTCAATGCTATGGCTGACTCCGTCGTGAATTTGCCTCCAGACTTGCAGTTGAAAGCAAAAAATCAAATTTATTTAACAGTATCTAACTTGAAATATGAGAACTTACAAAGAAAATCAACAGCAGGACAAACTCAGAATATTCAACTTCAGCTTGATGATTTTACAGCTTCTTACCTCGGCGAACAATTTGAGGAACCAACTGCATTTACATCTGGTGTTAATGAACCCCAAAATACACCAGTAGCACGGACTCAGACTATTCACGTTCCGGAAGTACATACAGACTCAGAATCTCAAAGTATTTTGCCACCTACGAAATATATCTTAACTGCAGATAGCCGTCTACTAAACGTTATGATGCAAGAAGATACAAAGCCAATTTGCTGACTGATTCAATTACTAGCTGAAGACAAACATTTTTTATTGAACTTCATACTAAAATTATATAGAGAACGTTGTTTGTTCACAAGCACTTGCATACGAATACCCTTTGGTATCAAAATCAAAAGTCACTCCACATAGGTATATCCATTTTAATAAATAAAAAATATTTTTTTACGTTATTGTCACCATGAGTTTTTCTTCCACTCCTATCGCTTTCCGGAATAGTGTGTCCATACTTCGTATATGTGGCTGCATAATTTGTAATAACTCAATGAATTTGTATTGAGACATTCTAAAATAAGTATGGAATCTTATTGGATCCTTCTTAAGTCGTGGCAAAAGCGTATAATACTCGCCTTCTTCAAATCGCGAGTTTGATATGTCATGTAGCCTTATTCTTTGCTTTTTTCTTGCCTGTTCTTGCTCTATCCTTACTTCTTCTTCGCACAACAAAGAAATAATAATCATATCTATTTCGTCGTTCATCTTGCTCAAATGTTGTCTAGCTAGCTACTGAATATATTTTTGTAGCACCGCTGCAGTTCAAGTGCGGTTTACCAAAAAATGACGCGTCGTGTCGCGCAGTTGCGCTGCAGTGCAGTTCTGTCTAGTGTGGTCTTACCTTTAGTACTTGCAACACTGAATCCGTCCATCAAGCATAAAAACAGTCAAATTGTCAATGTCAGACTTGATCTGATTTACGTTTACCGACTTACGCGCCGTTTCTTACAAATATATGATATATGTAAGCTTTTCCTTCGTATTTGTGTTTTATCGTATTTTACTTTTATTTAATAAGTGCCGCAGCCCCACGCGAGCTGCACACCACTAATTATAAACGGTATAATACCTACGTAAGTCTAATTATTTTCTGTCTAATATACTTCGATCAATAATAGTTATGTTACAAAAACTAGTTCCAAATAATAACTTTAAAGACTGAAAAATACTACTGTCCTTGTTTTTTTTTAGCTAAACCGGTTAGGATACATCCTAATCATCATGCATATATATTAACCTACATAGCACTCATGAATTGGAACTTTATTAATATCTACATTGTGTAATAATGATAAAAACCGACTGCCAAAATCAGCTTTTTTAAATCTTCATAATTTTTGTCCACTACTGCTTAGCTACATGCACTTTTCTAATTCTTTATATAGAAGATCTGTACTTTCAAATGACATAGATTTCATCTCTGTACAGTCATACCATAGGTCATATCATAGGTTCAAACAATTTGAGGCCATCTCCTTTATCGAAATGAGATAATATACTGGTCAAAAAATCGACCCACCCATTTTTTTTGAAATTTATCGATTGTTTCACTTAAAAGCTGTTTCACACATTTGTTTTTTTATTTTGAGGGTCGGATATGATGTTTGACACCTTGTTTGTCGTAAATCTTATTGCACTTGAAGGTACTTTACAATTTTTTATACAGAAATACTGTTGAGTGCTGATTTCGTTGTTTTACGTCAGAACAAATTCGAACCGTTATTTCAGTCCGACACAGACTTTTGTAGGGATTTCTCGTTAATAACGTTAAGTTTATTTACTGAGGCTGTAGCTTTGATTACTTTGTCTAAAAATAATGGACACTACTGAAGCTGAGGCAGCCCAAGTTGTGGCTTTGCTGCAACAAGGCTTAAGTCAACGTGTCGTGGCCAGGAGGTCAAATCTGAGCCGTTTTGCAGTGCGACGAGTTTAACAAAGGTTTCTGGAGACTGGGCAGTATCGAAGAAGATCTGGATCTGGAAGACATAGGGTGACAACTCAAAGGGATGACCGATTTATAGTGTTATCAGTTCTACGAAATCGGCACCTATCTGGTGTTGATCTCCAGCGACAGCTACGTGAAGATCGAGGTGTAGCTATAAGTGATAATACTGTAAGAAGGAGACTTCGTGAGCAAAATTTAAGACCTCACAAGCCAGCAACAAGACCACAATTGACCACAGTTCATCGACAAGTCAGACTTCAATTTGCGCGTAACCACATCAACTGGACTATAGGCCAATGGGAGTCAGTTCTTTTTAGTGATAAGAGTTGAATGACTTTATACGGTTCTGACGGACGCCGTAATGTCATGCGACGACCAGGTGAACGTTATACCCAGTGTTACATAAGAGAAACTGTCAGTTATGGTGGAGGCTCTGTAATGTTTTGGGCTGGGATATCTTTGACTGGACGCACTGCGCTGGTTTTCCTACGAAGAGGTGCTTTAACTGCAGCACGCTACATCACAGAGATCTTAGAAGACCATGTAGTGCCATACGCCGGTTATATTGGAGAGACCTTTGAATTAATGCACGATAATGCACGACCACACATAGCGCGCATCACAACCGATTACCTTGAAGAGTACACATTGAATAAATCCCGTACGAAGAAATTATCTGCAGTGTTGAGGATTGTCTGTTTAAAAATAATACTGATAAGGAAGATTTGGAGGCTATACGTCAAGATATTTCGTCCTTGTTACGTCGTAGTTCAGTGCCGAAACCAACCTTCCTAAAGACGAATTTACAGCGTTGATTAATTTACGGAACAGACCAGAGCTAACGATTCTCCGCGCGGATAAAGGAAATGCTACGGTAATAATGGACACGTCAGAGTATAATTTTAAAGTACTAAAGCTTTTATCGGGCGAAAGTACGTACAAAAAGGTCAAAACAGACCCCACAACTAACACGCTTAAAGCAACTAGCGATTGAATAAATACTCCGAAAAATTAAATCTCGACGTGAATTACCATCCAAAAAACCACCGAGGTTGTATGGGTTACCGAAAATACACAAACCAAACGCTCCACTACGTCCTATAGTGAGCCAGATCGATTCACCAACTTATAAGCTGGCACAACACTTGGCAAAAGTACTGTCACCACTGATAGGACATACCAGAGCACACACAAAGGATTCATACCATTTTGTGAGTGAGATAAAAGACCTACATCTCGCTGACAATGAAACTATGGTTAGCTTTGATGTTCAGTCACTATTCACATGCCTACCTATTGAAGACTGCGTATCAATTGTAACTAGGAAGCTAGAAGATAACAACATGCCTGCTGAATATGCAGTATTACTCAAACACTGCCTCACATCTGGCTATCTATTGTGGAAGGAAGAGTTCTACAAGCAAATAGATGGTGTGGCGATGGGCTCACCTGTATCTACCATAGTCGCCGACATATTCATGGAGGACTTCGAGGAGAAAGCCCTTCTTACTGCTCCCGTAAATCCAAGATTCTACAAGCGGTACGTAGACGACACTTTCGCAATTTTACCATCTGACAAAGTAACTGCATTTTTAAACCACCTTAACTCTATAAACTCTAAAATACAATTCACAATGGAGTTAGAGGCAAATAATTCTTTAGCTTTCTTAGATATTTTATTCATTCGAAATCCTAATAACACAATTGGTCACACAGTGTATAGAAAAAAGACCCATACCAACCGATATTTAAATGGTGAATCTCACCATCATCCTTCACAGTTAGCTACCGTGGGTAAATCTTTGTTTCAGAGACCACGAGGGATCTGTGACAGAAAACATCTGGCCGCCGAGCTTCAGCACGTTAAGCAAGTATTGCAAGACAACAAGCTTCGGGTCCCGCGCCTACGCCACAGTGACCGAGTGAAGCCGGCCACAGTCGAGCGTGAACCTGCTGTACTACCATATGTCAGAGGAGTCACAGACAAGGTTGGCTACATCTTGAAGCGAGCTTCGATTAAAACATAGTACAAGCCGCCGAAAAAGATTAGTCAATTTTTACCATCCGTCAAGTGCAATATCCATCTACAAGATGCAGGAATGTACAAGTTAGATTGTAAATGTGGTCTCTTTTACATAGGTCAAACAAAAAGATCCATAAAAACCCGCGTGAAAGAACATATAGCTGACGTGAAGCACCGACGCTCCGGGAAGTCTGCAGTCTGCAAACATGTTCAAGATCGTCCCCACCATTACATTCGATTTGATAAACCACAAATCCTCGCAAAAGAACACCGATTCCTACTAAAGACGATACGCGAGGCTATTGAAATTAAAAAAACATCCAAATTTCAATAGAGAAGATGTATGGGTGAGGCCACCTGCTTGGGATCCTATAATTAACAAAATTAAACCCAAACCTAAGCATACCACTGCAAGACTTCATGATACTATAAGCTCGTTTTGCGTAAATCGGACCAAAAATTAATATTCAAAAACTGAAGGTAGCCGGACTATGACATTGGGACGTCAAACATCTCAGTCCCCCCCCCCGTGACCATGGGTGCTGTAAAGCACCCGAAACGTCGGGAATTAAAAATAAGTAAAAGTAGTGAAATCAACGCGATAAAATCCGTAAATTTTGTTTTATTGTTAAAATTACCTTAAAGAGGTCAGCATTCGGGTTACATCGTAGCCAGCAAGAAGCCCTGATGTCAACCCTATAGAGCACATGTAGGACACCGTAAAACAAAAGGTTAGAGCCCGTAATCCAGTCCCTACAACATTAGGAGACCTTGAAACCGGCATTAGGGAACAATGGAACCGAATCCCCCAAGAGACCATCAAAATCTTGATAAGGTCATTAAAACGGCGAATGCAGGCTGTCATTCGAGTAAGAGGAGGGAATACGATATTAAATTGCAACAATTGTGTCCATAAAATTCAATACATAAAAACTAGAGCGTATTGAAAATTAATAAAAATAATCGTGAAAAATTAAATATTTTGGTTTTTAAATGAAAATTACTTTCAAAAAAATCATTTTGATGTTGTAACTGTGATTAAATTGGTGTAAATAAACAAGTTAAATAAAACATTTCAGTACTTAAACGTTTTGATTGGTTCTGCTTTAGAAAAACGTGATTTGCGGCAAAAACACAGGTGGGCCGATTTTTTTGATGGCTAGGTATGTTAAACAGTTCTCAAGACCTAATTCACCTGTGGTCAAAAAAATTATGTCTTGAATTTGATATCTATTGTGGTCAAATTTTGACCACACAACTTGATAGAATTTACCTATATTTTATCTGAGGGTCAATTAAAACCAGGTTGGAAAATTACTAGTTCATATCGTTTTGTACTATTTATCGGTCCTATAATTACTTTATTTCTATCATTAGTTTTTATGTTTTTATGTTTCTTTCTTTATTTCTATCACTAGTCCTATAATTATTAATTATACACGGAAAACCCTGAAACATTCACAGTTATTGGTCATAGATTCAGTTGCCCCAGAACAGAAGTTAGTTTGTTATCAAAAGTTTATAGATGGTTATATACTCATTTGAAAAATGGGTGGATTTATTTTTAGGTGCAGGATGGTAATAAATGGGCAAAATATAGAAGATTACTTGGAAAGAAATTTAAATTTTTCCGCAGAGGATATAGCTACGGTAGTCTCCTACATTCATATATACTTAATATCTCAATGTAACAAACGCTGGAAAAACGCATCTCGGATAAGAGAACGCTTTGAAAGTCAGAATTTCAAAGGGTTAGATGGTTGATTTCGTATTCCACTTGAGTAGTGGTGGCAGGCCTTCGAATGCGTACGAATCATGTTCGGAAAAGACAAAGAAACGACAAGAGCATGGATTCGACTGTGTTCTCAATTCATATGCACACGAGTTACGACGGTCTATGGCTGAGACGGAGTAGGCTACTATCGTTAATATTATACGAACTGCACCAAAAAATGATAACAAAAAATATCTTAAGTACAACTTGGAGAACCCTGAGGAAATCACATCTTTTTCAAAGAAGAATCATTACGGACATACATTGATTGAGACCTTAACTGAGAGCAGTACGGAACACTTCGAGTTTGTTTTGCAGGTAAAAAATGCGTAGTGTTTCCTTCTTATCCAACCTTAGCCGATGCAAAAAATACGTGTTATCCATCAGATACGAGCATTACCATTACTAATACCAGTGCAAAAGTAAATCTTCAGGACTTGTTGGATCATACTGTGACACGTATATTATGACAGTGGCGGCTCATATTATTAGAGCCGTCTACTTCAATAATAGATTTGGCATTTTAATCAATATATATTTTATTCAAACTATGTCTGCTAAGTTTATATTTTGTTATTACGAATTTATGGATGTGTGCAGATTATAAATTTTTAACTAGCTACACTGAGGGTGCATAATCTGTCACATGGTCGCCATTTTGTTGTAACACAGTCAATGCTTAACAGTCTCGTTGTTCGGGTGAGTATTTTTAAGATTATTTATGCATTTTTATCGATTTTTCGTAGTGTGTTTTAACAATGTTAAAACACACCATCACTACAAAGACATTTAGCGGCTTGCTTAAAATATGTTTGTCACTAAAAATTTTCATTTTCACATAAATGTTGTTATTTTATTTGCAGAATATATTTTAATCATGGGAAAAGCTAAAGACCTGTCTCCAGGGAAACTTTTCGAAATTATAACTTTATTATTGCATACTGGGCATTCCCAAAGGAAGATTGCATCGATTGCTAATGTTTCGAGGGCATCAGTTGACCATTGACACAAATATCGAGCTGACGCTGAAACGTGCGCAAAATTGTGGACGCAAGAAAATTACCACGCCACGTGATCAGGGAAAAATCAGGGATATGTGTTGAAAACAGGAAGGCACCTCGAAAAATTCTTACGAAAAAGGTACAGGACGCTGGAATCAACATTTCTCTAGCAACAGTTCATCGACGAATGAAAGACTTGGGTTTCACTTGTCGTCAACTGGCTAAAAAACTGGAAACTGGAAAATGTGCCTACTAGGATGTGTAGCGGAGCTGTGAAAATGCGCATTAATGTGTGGTGCGAGGATGCGTTGCGAAGCTGTGAAATATGTCGACGGGGGTGCGGTGTAGTGGGAGCGGAACGCCTGCCTGCCGCTCACGTCTCACTTTGCTGTCGTTAGCGCTTGTAGTCGTACGCATGTCGTATGGTTGGGTAGCGTAATGGACGAAAAATTATTTGATGCCGTTTCCGTGTTTGTGGAACACTTCTTTGTCGTTTTACAAATGTAATGAAACAAAGGACGCTGCGTGGGAGGAAATAGTCAAAGAAATAAAATATAAAGATGGTAAATAATAATCATGTATTAAAATCAGGTATATTGAAATACAATATTTGGGCATTTATTGTGTGCGATGAATTCGTGACGAAATACGAGTATCATGCCATGACACTTTTCCTTGATTATTGAAATAAGAGCAGTATTTCTCTCTTACTTCATAATCATCACTTGACTCAACGACGGAAATGCTAGGAACGGATACAAGAGTACTTGTATTTGTTTTATCAATGGAATCCAAATAATTAGTTTGTCTTTCAATTTAAAAATTATGCTTACACATGTGGCTTTTACGATTTTGTCAACCGTTTCCACTCTGCATTCGAAGTCTTTACGATACACATACCACTTTCGTGCCAATACACCGAATGTAGCTTCTTCTATAGTTAAATATACGTTTCTGTTGGTCTAACTGGACCCGCAGATATGGGCGCCTGAAATTTTCCATCAAAGGAAAAGCCTCATCTCCAATGAATACAAATGGTACTGGTTCACCTCCTTCATATAATGGTTCAGGTTCAGGAATATTTAATCTTTTTTCTTTCAAATATTTTCCAAAAACACTATCATCAAATATTCCAGCATCACTAAATCTTCCCATGGATCCCACAACAACCATTATAATCTTTCTCCTAACGTCAGCTAAAGCACATAAGCACCATAGAAAATCTTTGTTTGTAATTAAAAAAAGAGAACCCAGTGTTTGCAGGACACTTTATATAAACATGATTACCGTCTAGAGCCCCCAAACAATTTTTAAACTGCCATAGCTCTTGAAAATCCTTTGCTATTCGCTTCCAGTCGTCTTTGGTAGGTTTTGGAATAACAAGAGGTTGTAAAACAAGCCAAAGAGCATTACAAACTTCTGCCACAATGCTCGACACACTTGCTACTCCAATCCTAAAATTTTCTGACAATCTTGTGAACGACGAGCCCGTAGATAAATACCTGCAAAAAAGGATTGTTTATTATAAATAAAATAATTATTTACATTAAAGTAACAGGTAAAAGTACTCTTTAACTGTTACTGATTTTTTTGCGATCTGTAAGACAATATGCTTCATATAAAATGTTATATTCCTAATCATAATTTTCTATTATTTCAAAGTATCGTTGGAAACAACTACGGGATAGCCATCGGGACGCGCTAAAGAGGCAGAAATCTAAAAAAAAGCGGACAGGCTACAACCAAAACGCGTGAATTGAAATACCAAAAATTTGTGGAATTTCTTTTACCGTACATGGCCAACAGAGATAGAGATTCAAGTTATAAAGAGGATGTTTCGTCACCAAATAATAAAGATGACTCTTCGCAAAGCACTCAATATTCGTTAAACCAAGACGACTCTTCACAGAGCACTGAACATACACCAAATCAAGTTGACAATCCCGACACTCTTTACGAAATAGTCTCAACTTCAGGCATTTCATCACATTCGGTCACCCCGTCATCATCAAAGAAGAAAAAAGGCGATGAATTATCAATTTTAATACAAAAACATATGAAAAATCAAGATTTTCGAAAAGAAAGGCAAGAATTAAAAGAACTTTTAAAACCAACGGACTGCGATGATACTGATCATTTTTTTCTTTCAATGGCGAAAACATTTAAAAAATTACAAAATTACATGCAAGTTCCTTTAAAAAGGAAACTTTTTAATATGATTAGCGAAGCCGAAGAATCTTACGTGCTGTAAGTCAAGTAATATAGCAGGCCAGATGGATTTGCCGCCTCAGCTGGATCCTGAACAACTTGGTTATTGTTCAAGCTTTGGTACCAACGCAAGTAATATAGCAGGCCAGATGGATTCGTCTTTCCAACTAGAAGCTGTACAACCAGCATCTCCGGGGACTAGGAATACAAATAAAACAGCGGGACAGAAGGATTCGTCTTTCCAACTAGAAGCTGTACAATCAGCATCTCCGGGGACTAGGAATACAAATAAAACAGCGGGACCGAAGGATTCGTCTTTCCTACTAGAAGCTGTACAACCAGCATCTTTGGGGACAAGAAATACAAATAAAACAGCGGGACAGAAGGATTCGTCTTTCTAACTGGAAGCTGTACAACCAGCATCTCCGGGGACTAGAAATACAAATAAAACAGCGGGCCAGATGGATTCGTCTTTCCAACTGGAAGCTGAACAACCAGCATCTCCGGGAACACAACATTCAGACCTACAAACAAAGTAGTACTTCAAACAAAGTAGGAACAAAGCCTAATTTACCATGAAGAAGAAGAACTTGTTCTCTAGTTATTTTGTAGATTATGTTGTACTTTTCAATTAATATGTTAAATAAAGACAAAATTGATTCAAACTATTTTACTTACTTTAAACATACCGCCAATTTTTCCTTGGTGCTGATGCATTCTCTGTAGTGTCTTCCTTCTTGATAATGTTCTCAATCAAATTGTGTAACTCATAAAAGTTACTTCTAGATACCCGATAAGAATTTTCGAATATTTCATCATCAGCCGTATAAAAAAAAGGTAAGTAAAGAATTCTCCATGTAATCGATGATATTTAATATGGTTACGTATCCAAAACCTGTGTGTTCTTCTATTGCTCAAAATTATAGAACTAATAAACTCCGTATCTTCTGCTTCCATTTCTTCATCGCAAATTGTTAAATATAAAAGTATCTTCTTTTTCCAATTATCCATATCTATTTTGCGCACTTCTACTTCCAACAAACTCCGTCTATGGACTGGCTGGTACAGTATGCGCAAACCTCGCAAAATATCCTTCTCAACACACATTCCTCGCAACACATCCCTCCCACACATCCCTCGCAACACATACCTCGCTTGTTTAGTATGCGCAAAAATCTAGCTCCGCTGAGCCGTTTCCACCAGAGCGGTGCTGACCGAGGCGAGGTAAATGATGCAATTTTATTGGTTCTTTACGAACACATCCCTCGCTACGCATCCTCGCACATCTCTGGTGGCAACGCAGCCTTACACAAGCTATGATGTTAAAGCGTTTAAAATGGACAAAATAACAGAAGAACTAGACTGGCGAAGACTGGAATAAGGTAGGTGAATAATTATTGAAGCTGCTGGAAGTAAAATGCGAGATCGACATTAATATAAATTAAATTTAAATTTTGATTTATCTGATGAAACGTAAGTGCAAATTTTATCGGACAAAGCTGAATATGTAAGAAGGAAGGGTGAAAAATCCAAAGAAGATTGCATAATCAAGCGAGTGAAGCACCCTATCAGCATCATGGTATGGTCCATAATAAGCAGCAAAGACACTGGTGGTCTGTACATTGTGGAGGGAACGATGCGGCAGGATCAATATGTCCCGTTCCTTGAGACAAAGATGCTGCCCCAGGTCCAGGAGTGGTTTCTGAACGGCAAATTTACGTTTATGCATGACTCTGCTCCTTGCCACAAAGCAAAAAAAGTCTTGAAATTTCTAAATGCCCAAAAAGTAAAGGTTCTTGACTGGCTCGGGAGTTCGCCGGACCTCAATCCCATAGAGAACCTCTGTTTCAGTTCCAGAGAACACGTCACTAATAAACGTCAACTGATCAAGCGTTTGATAGATATTTGGCACAGGAGTGAATCAATTAAGATAAACAGCTCAAAATGTATCGAAAGTATGCCCAGTAGAATTCGATGGTTATAGAAGCAAAAGGCGGTGTCACTAAATATTGATTATATTTGTATTTTTATATATATTGCACTTATTCCATACATAAGTTTCGTTGTCTTAAGAGTATTAATAAGGCAATATACTTAATAAAATATATTCTAAACAAAAAAACCTTGACATCACTATTTTATTTCTACCCAAACTAATATTAATCTACTTTTTTTCTGTGTCTCTCATAATATGAGCCCCGACTGTAATTGATTCAGTTAACTAAAACGGTATAAAAACCTTAAAACTATTCCGTAAATGGGGTTGTGATGGATCATCAGAGTAGAGTGATTATAAACAAGTTTTGCCCAAAGAAAGCGATTCATACAGATGCAAACCTTTTAATTGCTTCACTTGTACCTGTTAGACTCAGACTGTCTTACTACAAAAGAGTGTTTAACGGTGGTTTATGGATAGGCAAGGCTTAGACGTTGTTTAAATTTAAATAGCCGCAAACCCTTGTTTAACTAGTATCTAACCTATCTTTTTCGTCAGTTCAGTATTTTTATTTAACATGGATATAATTGATTTTGTCGATTACTTCGATGAAGACGACATGGATAACTATGCGGAAATGTTCCGAGAAAGTAATACGGTTCGTGTGAGGGTTAATCCGTTTGAAAAATATGACGACACCAAGTTTAAGAAGAAATATAGGTTCAGCAAACTTTTTGCTAGAAAAATATTAGATCTTGTGAAAGACGATATACCGAGTGATTCTCGTGGTAACACAATAGACCCAGCAGTGCAAGTGGCTTGTGCATTACGGTACTGGGCTCGTCATCAAGTAAGTTCGATTCATACAAAATTAAACTATGCTTACGTGTGGCGTCGGTAGAGAAGAATAGCTTCACCCATCACCTGTATGTTTACCTATTATTTGCAATTTTATTTCAGATACAAGATGACAGTGGAGATATGCATGGGATTTCTCAGCAATCAGTGAGCAAAATCGCTTATAATGTTGGGAAAGCATTAGCTAAAAAAGCTCATTTATTCATCAACATGCCCACTACACTAGAAGATCAACAGGAAACCATCAGAGGATTTAGAAGTATATGTAATTTCCCCTCGGTGATAGGGGCTATAGACTGCACGCATATACGAGTCAAAAGGGTAGGTGGCGATATGAGTGAAGCCTATGTGAACAGAAAGGGTTACTATTCTATCAACGTGCAAGTTGTCTGTGATTCAAACTTGAAAATCCGAGACATAGTTGCACGTTGGATAGGAAGTGCTCACGACTCTCGGGTTTTCAACGAAAGCACAATAAAAGAACGCTTTGAACGTGGCGATTTTCATGGAAGATTACTTGGAGACAGTGGATATGCATGTACTGCATATCTCTTTACACCTTTGCTTAATCCTAGTAATGACAAAGAGGAAGCTTACAACAGAGCTCACATTAGAACAAGGAATACAGTGGAGAGATGTTTTGGCTTGTGGAAACAAAGATTCAGATGCCTATTAAGAGGCATGTTTATGAAACTAAGCACAGCGAAAACCACAATTGTAGCATTAGCAGTGCTACATAACATAGCGATTGATATGAATGAAGACATTGATATAGTTCGGTATGTTCGTCAGCGGCGCAGGCCACAGACTGAGAGATCTACAGTTAGGGGAGCAATTATTAGACAGCGTTTTATTAACCAAAATTTTTAATATAAGAAATAATAAAAAAAAAATGTATGAAAATGTATAATAAAAAAATTTAAAAAAAAATGTAAAATTAGTCCTTATATTCTAGTTTTTTTTTAACAATTCTAATTCCAATTTCTTTTTGTCTCTTTCTAATATTAATATTTCAATTTCCAGTTTATGCCGCAACTGCTGATGAGCTATTTCTTGTTCTTGAAATTTTATTTTTAATTTATGTTCTTCTTCCAACATTGCTGAAGCCCGTCCCTTAAATTCTATATTGCTTCTTAATAAAGCTTCCTTGCCAGCCCTGTAACAGACATGATTTACTTATTTAATTAAAAACCGTTAGGCTCAACGAGATGTTAGGCACCTATTTACTAAGTAGATAGTACCATTTTAATGTTCTTTGTGTAATGTACTTATTGTATTGTATTTATGAGAAGAGAAATGATTTATATATTTATTTATTTTTATTATTGAAATCAAAATATGAGAAGTCATCATACATACATACATACAATAATGTCTTTTTTCTCATAATTCTCCTAATAATGGTTGTTCATAGATACAACAGGGCAGTGTGAATCATTTATTAAATGATACTTACAAAACATGAAAATATAGTAAAGTAGATCATAAAAATTATATACAAACAATCTACTTACAACTTATTTGTTTTCTTTTCTCTAATTTGTTTCTTGTCCACCTTTGGAGGAAACATCATTTGTGTTTTTCTGCTGCATTCAGGCATCTTGATATCAATCTGAGTGAATAATGATTTTCATTAAGTTTTATTTATAATTATAAATAAATTATAACTATATTTGTTCTACACGGTAGAGCCATGCTGCAGTTATATTAATAGTATAGTCGTAGCACGAATGGGTCGGCTCGACCGAGGAAGGAGCACACTCTCACAGAATACCAGCGTGAAATAGTAGCTTAATGCTGCTGTGTTTCGTATGGTGAGTGTAGAGAACCTGAGAACCTTTTTGCTAGAAAATAGGCGTTCCATCTTAGTCTTCACGGATGACAACTCATCTGCATTCGATGAATCGCATACAAGGGTAGATGTAGATGGCTATGGGCCACATTAACCGCTTACCATCGGTTGCACTGTGTGCTCGTTTGTCACTCTATCCTATAAAAAATAACAGTATGAAGCACCACATTTTTTTTTTCAGGTAAACTCACCTCTTCGCTATGCACATTTGCCACTGTAATCATTTGCTGTTCAGCTGGTTCCTCTGCTGGTAAAATTTCATCCTTTGGAAAGAAAAGATTTATTTATTTATTTAAAAAATGAGTAATAACATATTTAATTTAAAACTAATAATGTTCATACACACCTCGTCTATATCATACAATGTGTTGTTTTGCTCTTCAGTTTCTCCAAGAACTATAACTTCACCCTGTAAATTAATAAAAGTTAATAAAGCAAAGTTGCGTCATTATATTTGGTACATACAATTCAAAAACTTACGTGTTGTGGGACCGCATCGCTGTCATAAAGATTTTCTTCTATAACAAAATCTGTTGGGCAGAGTTCCACTATCTTTAGGTGATCATCACCTGGCGATGTTGGCCTTTGTCCACCACCAGTAGCTTGCAAATCTCTTCTATGTTGTGCCACAGATTTCTTTGCAGCCACTTTTGTTCGTCTCCAGAAACCCTTTAACTGGGTGATCTCTCTGGATTTCCCAGTGAGTTCCTTAAGACTGCAATAAAAAAGAATACCAATTTTATTATTAATTTAACCTTCTTAAAAATATATTTTGGTGTAACAGAAAAATATAGACTTATCATCTATTTGATCAACATCTATACTAACTAAACAAATCAGTCTGACCACACAATTACCTCTTTTGTACTCTAATCCACTCCAGATTCTTTCTTTTATTTGTATTAGTGTCGGTAAATTTACTCTCTATAATAGGCGCTGACTCCCTCATTATTTCCAAAAACAGATCCTGAAAGTAGTAAATATTTAGGTAATTAAAAACGTAACAAACAAAACAAGCAGTGTTATTATTATATATTCGTAATAATTAGCTCATGCGGCTTAAAAAACTAGACCAACTTCCTAAAACGAATAGTACATAAGCATAACTAACCTTTTCCTCTTGAGTCCAATTTTCGCCTCGAGCACGATTCTTTTGATTCTCAGGCGCAATATTTCCTTTCGACTCCATTATTTAATACGATAAAAGTGAACACAAATTAAATACAGCGAAACAATTTACAAACACAATTCAGGCAACGGTCGCGGACGCTTGTTTGACAACTGACATTGAGCATTGACATCTATACAAAGATGGTTGCGTTTGACATAATTTCACATTTATCTTCATCTAACTGCCAAGCATAACTGATATGTTTTTGTTAATAAATAATATATTTAATGAATTTTTTACAAAGAATATAGATAAACATATATATAGCTTTTTTATTATTGAACTTTGAGACAAAACAAAATTTAATTTTTATGTAGTTAGTCGTATTAATTTGCGTAAAATAAAACGAATGATCGAATGCTGAACGAATGTATTGCAGTGTCACCTGGAGAATAAAGTTGAACGTTGTCTATAGAGGCACGCGTTAAACACGGTTTAGTGGTAGCGAAATTTAAACCATTGTTTAACATGTGTTTATCATTTAAGTCCGTTTTTAACTAAACACATGTTGGACCAGTGTTTAAATGCTTTTTTGTAGTACGACTGAGAGATTCCAGAACCAATACTGTTGTTTGGTTGAATGAAACTTGCTCATCTGTAAGAATTTGCAGATCCATATCGATAGAATTTGCTAAAGAAACTCCTGAAAATACAAAGTCTGTAGTGGCTGTTATTAACAATCAAATACAAAGCTTGTCTTCTTCCCTGACAAATAATGATGGTGAGGTAATCGAAGTTACTCATGACCTTTTTATGACGATGATTGATGGCAAAGTGGTACAAGTTTTAACCGAAACTAGTTCGAGTACTACTTGTACAGTTTGTGGTGATACTCCTCGACGAATGAATAACTTAGAAGCAGTGAGGACACGACAAGTAAACGAAAGTTAATTTCAATATGGACTGTCGACACTGCATGCTTGGATTAGGAGTATGGAGATGATCTCCACATTTCTTATAACTTATCTTTTCAAAAATTGTCTGCTACTACACCTGAAAATTTAAAAAAACAAAGACGAAAAGAAAAACTGTTACAAAAACAATTTAGGGAGGAAATTGGACTACATATCGGTAAACCTCGACAAGGCACCGGAAACTAATGACGAAATTACTGCTCGGATTTTTTTTTTCACAATTAGTCTTGCTCTGCAGATATCAAAGGTGTATATGAAGAACTTATAAATTGTAAACGAATGTACATATTACTACAAACTATGTCGTCTGAAATGGCTATAAATTCAAAAAAATCGGCGAATATACATAAAGCACAGCCGAACTGTATAATTGGTTACTACATGCCTTCGTCTGTCCACAAAATACCGATTCACGGGGACTAAGTAATTGAGTACTATGCTATTTTACCTATCAGAAAATTGTCTGAAGATGTACAAGAATTTCAAAATAAGGATTGCAAACAATTCAGACTTCATCATGCTAGAAAGTGTTCAAGAGCGGCTACCAATGAAGATGTATTTCACACCTTGTTATATACTTCTGATCCATATATATCAAGTTTGAAAAACCCCAAAGAAACAACAAAGGAACTGTTTTATGAAGCCAAAGCTCTTCTTACTTTGAACGAAGTTCTATAGAAACTCAAAAAAATTTGTATATATTTATTAAGATTTGATGAACGAGTGTTACCTTTTTTAAGGCCAATAAAACAATGACAAGAAGTTCGGTGAATTGTTTTTACGGGACATTTTTTACACCTTTACAGGTACTTTTAACACCAGTAACTTTTGGTCCCAAAATTGTGCTTGTTTAGACTAACAAAATATTGATAAGAAACAGAAACAGAAATTTTTTTACTCAATTTAGATTAAAAATAATACTTATTGAGTCTATTTTTATTTACCATGTACGTCAAAATTAACAACAGGAAACAATTTAAAAATAGCCTGGTCGCGATCGCGAACTTTTTATGGGGGTTATTATCATTCATTCATTTCTTAATATTATAATAACCCTTTTTATTATACAAACTTAGTTAAATACAAAGTTGAAAACTTTCAACTTTGTGCGGGTTAAATTTTGTATATTTTCTTAGATTTGTTTTTTTTCTCTTTATTAGGATTACCAACGATTGATAAATTATTACACCGTTAATTAAAATTTACAATTGTCTTATTTCTAAATGTCAATCACTTAAAGGTAATCACAACATGCTATCAACATGTGTGTGTGTGTGTGTGTGTGTGTGTTTTTGTGTGTTACATTAATTATTAACAATTTAGTACACGATCTGTGCTTTCACAATGTTTGAAGTACTTACATAAATTCATATAAAACTGACATATAGAATCAAAATTAACATCAACGACATCACTACATTCAATAAAGACATTACACAGCCTTGCGCCTGGCGAATGCGCATTGAGAACAGTTTTACGACGTGTTGGGTAAAGAATTGTAATTGGTTTACGCAGAATTCTTATTGGAGTGCGAAATTTAAATAGGGCGAGAAGCTGTGGATAATCTTCTTAATTTCTAAGCATCTTGTATAAAAACATAATATCTATTAAATTTAGACGTATTGATACGGGTAGCATATTAAAATATTGCAGTCTTACAACAAAAAAGCATTTAAACACTGGTCCAACATGTGTTTAGTTAGACACGGACTTAAATGATAAACATATGTTAAGCAATGCTTTAAATTTAGCTAACACTAAACCGTGTTTAACGGGTGCCTCTATAGACAACGTTTATCTTTCGTTTCGTTTTTCGTTTAACTTTATTTTCCAGGTCACACTGCAATACAATCGTTCAGAATTCAATCATTCGTTTTGTTTTACGCAAATTAATACGACTAACTACGTTAAAATTAAACTTTGTTTTGCCTTAAAATTCGATAATAAAAAAGATATATATATATATATATATGTGTGTGTGTGTGTGTGTGTGTGTGTGTGTGTGTGTCTATATATTTTGTTAAATTTTTCATAACTTATTTTATTTATGAAGAAAAACATATCAGTTGTGCCTGGCAGTTAGATAAAGATAAATGTGAAATTATGTCAAACGCAACGTCTTTGTATAGATGTCAATGTCAGTCAAGCGTCCGCGACCGTTGCCTGCATCGTGTTGTTTGTGAATTGTTTCGCTGTATTGTGTTATATTAATTTGTGTTCATTTTTGTCCTTTTAAATAATGGAGCCGAAAGAAAATATTGCTTCTGAGAATAAAAAGAATCGTGCACGAGGCGAAAATTGAACCTAAGAGGAAAAGGTTAGTTACGCTTATGTACTATTCGTTTTAGGAAATTGGTCATCTGTGATGACTAGTTTTTCAAGCCGCATGAGCTAATTATAACAATATAAGTAATAACTAAATATAAAGAAAAGAAATATTTACTACTTTCAGGATCTTTTTTCTGAAAATAATGAGGCAGTCAGCGCCTATTATAGAAAGTAAATTAACGTATACTAATACAAATAAAAGAAAGAATCTGGAGTGGATTAGAGTACAAAAGAGGTAATTATGTGGTCAGGCTGATTTGTTTAGTTAGGATAGACGTTGATCAAATAGATGATAGCACTATATTTTTCTTTTACACCAAAATATTTTTTGAGAGGAACAATTTATTAATAAAATTTGTATTCTTTCTTATTGCAGTCTTAAGGAACTTCTGAGAAATCTAGAGATATCACCCAGTTAAAGGGTTTCTAGAGACGATCAAAGTGGTTGCAAAGAAATCTTGCTTTGCAAGCTACTGGTGGTGGACAAAGGCCAACATCTCCAGGTGATGATCACCTAAAGATAATGGAACTCTGCCCAACAGATTTTGTTATAGAAGAAAATCTTTATGACAGCGATGTGGTCCCACAACTACAAGTAAGTTTTTGAATTCTACGTACCAAATATAATGATGCAACTTGCTTTATTAACTTTTATTTATTTACAGGGTGAAGATAATGACCAAGTTATAATTATTGGAGGAACTGAAGCGACATAGACGAGGCATGTATGGATATTATTAGTTTTAGATTAAATAAGCTATTACTCATTTTTAAATATTTAAATAAATCTTTTCTTTCCAAAGGATGAAAATCTACCAGTAGAGGAACCAGCTGTACAGCAAATTATTACAGTGGCAAATGTGCATAGCGAAGAGGTGAGTTTACCTGTAAAAAATTTGGTGCGTCATACTGTTATAATTTTTTATTATTATTTATAACTAACTGGTCTGTAAAACAAATATAAATTCATTGTCAGTCGCGTGTCCCCATAGGAAAATACCATACGATATTATGCTATGGAAATAGCTAAAGTAAACTAGTCTAGCTGTTTTAACATTATTAAGAATTCTAATATTTTTACAGCATATGCTGCAGAGCTATGTCTGCTCGTATAGTTTTAATATATAGGGAGCTCATTGAAGCTTCGCGTCTAGTGTGATTCCAAGAAAAATGGTGGTATCGACAAGACTCAGCTCTTCCCCATTTAAAATTACAATGGTATTTAGATGTTTGACATTTGAAGTTATGAATGTCCAATGTCATTTAAATGCAAATTTTTTACATAAAACCGTGTACCACGAAACACAGGCTGGTTTCTGTATATGATTGGATTGCGTTACTTTGGACTTTGGGTTGCTTACCGGACTTAAGCCGTAGCGGCACCTGACGTTTTACGTCACCATTGCAAATTCATACATCGACGAAGACTACTCTGACCACGGCGACTATGTAAAGCGTCGGCTATACGAGTCTGAAGTGTGGATGAAGGGGAGATTCTAAAAGAATGAAAGTGCGGCAAACACAAAACTAACATGAAAATTTCATTCTTAGTGGCTGAAAATCGTTTAGTACTTTCATATATGCTAAAGCATCCAGTAAAAGTAAAGCTGGAGGCAATGTAGCTAAAATCTCACAACGACAAGGGTCTTTTTTTGAAAATGTAACTCATGATATGATCCACATATGTTATATATCGACGGGGAAGTGCTAACAACTCCAACTTACATTTTTTTACGAAAACGACTTATAAATGTAGTTCGATAGAGAATGAATTGCGCGTTTTATGAATTAACTTGAAATTCGCAAAATTACCTAGGCAACGAAAAAATATATCCTTATATTAAAGTCCATCACAACCTGATTAATTTTGGCAGGAAAATTATTCTAACTTACTAATGTAAACATCTCGTAATTTCACTTCAAATAAAACTTTGAGCTAATATCTCCTATCTTCATGCACAATTACAAAGTTCTCGCTCTAAAGCGAGACAAAAACACAGGATTTTCATTAACACTCCGTTACACGCGCGGGGCACAGGCGTGCCCCAGCTGCATATTTTTGTCTGTAAATCACAAAACTTAACAGCCAGGATTTTGATTTTTTAAGTAGCTGTTGCATATATCTTCGCGTGAGCGTCAGTGACGCGTCGACTGTGCCGGCGCTCGGACGTGCTCTGTGTAAGTGTTTATGCATCTTTGGGGCACGCCTGTGCCCCACGCGTGTAATTACGTAACTAGTGGTACGCGGCTTATTTGGTATTTATTATGTTTTTTTTTTATTATTTTCAAGATAATTATGTTAAAAATCTGTGTAAATTTGTTAAATTCATATTACTGTTTTTATTTTTCTTTATTGGTGGTATGATTTTCGTAATTAAATTGGACATTTTTCTTGTTTTAGGTATTTTATCTTGTAAAGTTTGTCTGATTATCTGCTAAGATGGATGCACAGTCACAACGTGTAGCTAGATGGTTGGAAGAGACGGACGAAGAGGAGGAGAATGATTTAGAGGACCTGCCGAGTAGCGAAGATGAAGAAGATTGTTGTTTAGAAGAAAGACACGATTCTGAGTCGGAGCAAGAAAGCGATGTAGGGGAACAGATAATCCCAGATACTCCATCTGCATTGCAGCCGTTATCAGAGTCAAGCTCAGACGAGGATGTTCCATTGGCCAATTTAAGGATTTACAAATCTAAGTCAGGTCTTGAATGGCAGGCCACACCATACAGAACTAGCGTCCGATCCCAAGCGTCGAACATTCGTAGTCGTATTTGTGGCCCCAAAAATGACGCTTCAGCTTGCAAAACTCCAATCTCTTGTTTTGAATTATATTTTAATGAGGAGACAATAGATATTATTACAAGATGTACAAATATATATATCGACAAAATAAAAACAAAATACCAAAGACAAAGAGATGCCAAGAATACAGACTATACTGAAATCAGGGCAATGATTGGGATGTTACTCATGATGGGTGTAGAAAAAAGTGGTCGAAGAATACTGAAAGATTTTTTGGGACAATAGGTTTGGAACTGCAGTGGAGGCTATTTATCTCACAATGTCTCAAAATCGATTTGCCTTTTTGCTAAAGTGCATTCGATTTGATGACATCCATACAAGAGATTCCAGAAAGGAAATTGATAAACTCGCTCCTATCAGACAAATTTTTGACATTTTTGTATCGAACCTACAAAAGTATTATACACCGAGTGAGTATCTCACTCTAGATGAGCAACTTGTGGCATTTAGAGGACGTTGTGGTTTCCGGATGTTTATTCCCAACAAACCAGACAAGTATGGTCTTAAACTTTTTGCCTTAGTAGATGTTACGTTTCCTTATGCATACAACTTAGAAATTTATGCCGGTGCTCAACCTCCTGGACCTTTTCAGGTCTCCAACAAAGTGAAAGACATTGTTCACAGAATGTTAAAGCCTCTCGAAGGTATGGGAAGCAATGTGACCATGGACAACTGGTTTACCAGTATACCGTTGTTGATGGAACTAGAAATGAAGAAGATTACTGCTATTGGGACACTGAAATCTAACAAACCTGACATTCCACTCAATTTCAAATCATCCAAAGGTAGACCCATCAACGACTCCTTATTTGGTTTCCAAAAAGAAATGCACTTTAGTGTCTTACGTACCAAAACCAAAAAAAGTAGTTTTAGTGGCATCAACCATGCACAATGATGGTACGATTGATCTTTCTACCGCTGAGAAAAGAAAACCTGAAATAATTACTGAGTACAACAGGACAAAATGTGGTGTTGACGTTTTAGATAAAATGTGCAAGCATTTCAGTGTAGCACGAAATAGTAGACGTTGGCCCCTCACCCTATTTTTTGACATGGTAAATATCGCTGGCATCAATGGCATGATAATTGACACAATGGTCAATCACAATTACCAGCGCAAATCTCGACGCGACTACTTACGTTCGGTGGCTATAGAACTTATAAAGGCTCAAATGCGACAGAGACTTATGACTAAAAACTTACCTCGGACTATCAAGGAGAAGATCATGATGTTTTTAGAAGTAAAAGAGAGTAATTTAGTGCCTGAAGATGAAGTTATACCAAAAAAGAGAACCAAAACAGCCAGATGTTACGACTGCGGAAGAGCCAAAGATAGATCGACCAGAACATTTTGCCAGAAGTGTCAGAAGCCTGTGTGCAATGACCATAAATATCCTGTATGCCTTGGTTGTTATAATAAATATGTAACCGAGCCCAAAGAATAGTCGGATTATGTCAAAAATCTTAATTATAAGTATAAGTGCCATTTTTCTTTAGTTTTATCAGTATGAAGCCAAATACTTTTTATTTTTTGTTTTAGTACAGAAGTGTCTATTTTTTTGTTGTTTTTTGATAAGTCAATAAAGGCTGATTATATATAAAAACTATAATATTTTATTTCTATTCCTATGTTACTAAAAAAATCACAATATTTTGGGCCACAAATGTGCCCCGCGCGTGGAATCGTGTCACTATTTTAAGCGCGTGTACTGGAGTGTTAACCGGTGCACGGGCGTGTGCGACGTATCGTCAGTGAGTGCGGTGTTTTTAATCTGTTTAAAACGTGTTTTGATTGTTTTTGAGTAAATAATAGTTAATTACTGTGTATACTGTGCTGAACGACAAATATCTTACCTGAATTTATAACAAAGGTATGTATAACTTATAAATATGGTTTTATAATTAGATTTTATTTGGTGTTATAATAAGAAAACACAAATCGTATTGGAACATTTCGAATCAGCATGTTTCGGGTTATATTTTAGTTAATTATTCAATTAAAATGTTTGTTATTATTTTAAATTTTGGCTTAACGATAATAAATTATACATAAGGAAAGTTTTACGGATAAGTAATACGATTAAAATCGGTGTCTTAAACAGAATAATTAAGTCGATGTAAGTTTCAACAAGTACTGTGTGTTAGATAGATGTTGTTTCCTGCAGATACGAATAACGTTTTCGACCAACTCATTCTGTCTTAAGACATAAGTGTAGTTAGGAGTTGTTAGTTTTAATTTGTACATGGGATTTTATTGCACCAAATGTAGTGCGATTGATATTATCATTCTAAGTTATTAAATAGTGGAAGGTATTTAACAGAATTATTATGATTTTATTTGAGATAAAATGTCGTCTAAGAGAAAGAAAAATACTCAAGGATAGCGTTAAAAAAGTTTTGCATTGTTAACCCTTAATAGGGCCATGGTATCAGAATGTACCACATTGCATTATGGGGTTTTGAACAAACTTAATGTTCATAAATGTACCACAAAATGTCATTTTATGCGAGTGAATGAATGATTCTACAAAATGAATCATCTATCGCGTGTATCCGAACGGTAATTTTTAAACGATCCCGTTTTAAAATAAAAAACTGTCAGTGGCTGGTTATTTTCGCGCGTTTGTGAGGTGTTTTTTGTGAAAATGTCGAAAAAAAATCCGGTAAGTGATATTGTATTTGTTTTTTTTTTTCAGAGCTTATAAAAGAAATATATATGTAAATATAATAGTTTTAGTATTGAGAGTGTGATTCTAGAACTATATGAGTGCAAAGTATGTGGTACATATTAAGACCAAAGCCCATTAAAAAAATGTGGTTTTCTTGTATTTTTACCTATTTTGTTCTTATTCCAGAGGCCTAAAAAACTACTGAAAGATGATGATATTGCACGAACCCTGGCTGCAATGCAGGCAGAATACATCACGTTGATCATTTCAGGTCGTCTTATTCGATCGGAAGGAAGTCCAGACGAAACTGGTTCCGCTTGTTTTGGTTCATGCTGGAGACCTCTGCTATTAATGCGTATATATGTTACCGGCTGACAGATAAGAAAACAAACAACAGTCACATAGATTTTAGAGCAAGACTTGGCAGAGTGCTTATAAATAATTTTAGTACCACCAGTCTACAACCAATCACTTATAAAAACAAGAAAGGAGGTGTATTTGGAGTGCCGGATGAAGTGAGGTTAGCTAATATGGGGTTGCACATGCCCTGCTAGGGTAAAAGAAGGCGGTGCAAATTTTGTAGCACAAGACGTGAGCAGCCCCGCACAAATATTATGTGCAAAATATGCCTTGTTCCTTTATGTGTAATACCTTGTTTTGAAAATTTTCATGTACACCAGTACTGAAAATAATATAATTTGATAAATACTAAATTGGTTTCTGTAGTTTTGATACAATTTTCTAAAAAACTAACAATGAGTTTTGAGTTTCTACGAGTTTCCAAATGAGCAATGGTCATATAGAGTCCACATATTTTTTACTAAACGGGCAATGGTCTTATAGTGACCACATGATTTTTCCAATAAAAAGGAATTAAATATCAATTTTATTATTTTTATAACTTTATTTTATACATTTATAGAAACCCAAATTCAAAAAATCAAACTTAAAAGAAAAAAAACAAAATTAAAAATAACTTCATTGATGAAAATGTTATTCCAAGTACCGGCGTACCGGTTATTCCAAGTGGTAAGCTTAAGAATTTTATATCTTGTTCACATTGAAGAGCAATTTTTCTGAATCTGTCAAATAGATATTTATACTCTGGACGTTGTTTACTTACTACACTTTTCACAGGTCATGTAAAAAACGAGAATGTTCGGCGTTCCTCGTTAAGATCGGCCCACAAAGAAAACCCACATGCCAGTGTTGATCATGAAAAATGTAGAACTCGCAAAAAAACGTTCAATGTCAGTAAAACATGAAGTCTCTTCTACTCCTGCTGAACGAAACAAAACCGAATGTTCTTTGGGTGATTCGATAATAGAAAACTCTCCCGATTCCTCTTTAAACTTAATGGTTGGAAAATATTTTTGAAACCTATCTTAGATAAACCAGAGTACGAGATATTGCCTCACAACACCCTAAAGTCTTTGCTCACTAATGATAATGGCGATGTTCTCTTTGAAAAGATGTGGAATCAATACCAATATCTATAATATAAAATGTGTTTCTCTAGGCGACTTTACTGACGATACCTCTTTAAATTTGAGAAATATGAGAGGACACTTTTCAGCTGAATCTGTCACTTTTACCGTTAGCTCGGGGTTAAAAATGCACTATAATCAAAAGCCAGACACAAGATACCACTGATGGTATTGAGTGTACAGGTAGTAGTAGTAGTAGGTAGGTAGGATAAGGATTACTAAGACCGTTTCACCGGACTCAGGATCGAATCCTACAAACGCAGTTGTTTTTCAATTTCTTCACAACACGAATTTTTGAAATTCGGAATTTTTGATTTGAAATATTTCATTAAAAATTATAAATAGTATAAACATAATCATAATGGCAGACTCAAATAAATGTAACGCCTGTGTGAATGAAATAGCAAACATTCCCTCAATAAACTGCATACGATGAAGGCGGGTTATCATCACTCCTACATGAACTGAGTATAAGACGCTATCAGTTGAGTTAAAATCTAAGTGGATCTGGGCGCAATGTCAAAGTAGAGAACGCAAAGGAGGCGATAATTCAAACACTCCGATTCATAACAAAACTGGCTACGCCCCAACATCACCTCAGCTGGAGTTTGTTACGAAGTGAACGAAGTCACGCATAAGCAGCAATTGTTCTTGTTTAACGGCCAACAACATACGAGTTTTTTTTTATAGAAGAGGGGGCAAACAAGCATGCGGCTCACCTGATGCTAAGTGACTACCACCGCCCATGATCAACCGCAACACCAGGAGAATAGCAGGTGCGTTACCGGCTCATTAGAAAGGAGTAAGCTCTTTTCTTGAAGGTCCCCAGGTCCTAACGGTCCGGAAAAATCGCCGGTGGTAAACTATTCCACAGAGAAGCCGTACGCGGAAGAAAACTCCTTGTGAAACGTACAGTGGTGGACCGCCAAGCATCCTGATGGTGTGAATGGTATCGGGACGTTTGCCGCTTTGTGCGTTCACGAAATTTGGCGGCTGGGATTAATCCGAACAATTCCTCAAAGCACTCTCCATGGTATACGGTACACATACATACGAGATATAAACCGGGAAGAACTACAATTTCATTTCACTCACAAAATCTACCCCGAAATACAGGAGGTATTGCGATGTCTTCTCTCGAAGCGTCGGTAGCTCACTTCAATGTTGAACTTGAGAAAGTGAAGGCTGATTGTGTGGAGCAAGCGAAAATAATTGATGTTTTAAAATCAGAGACTGAACTACTGAAACCTACCAATGAAACGCTTTCATCTCGCCTGTCTCAATTGGACCAGCATGCGCGTTCTTCTAACGTGGAAATTCAATGCGTCCTTGAGAATAAACAGGAAAATTTGATAAATACCGTAGTGTCGCTAGGAAAAGTAATCAAGTGCCCAATCATATACACACAAATTAATTATTGCTCGCGACTAGCTAAGTTGAATAACTCTAGTCCTCGCCCTCGCTCGATACTGGTCAAATTCAACAGCCCGCGACTACGTCACGAATTCCTTGCGGCATCTAGTAAGTTTAACAGAAACAATCGAGAAGACAAGTTGAACACCAGCCACTTAGGCATCGGTGGGACTAAGGAAATACCAATGAAATTGTTAATTGCAATTTTAAGTGCTGAATTACCACGTGCTCGGCAATGAAGGAAAACATCGCGAGGAAACCTGCATAGATATAGGTAGAGGCTGTAACTTTGCTTATATTCCTCCCCTGTATGGAAGCATATTTTGGAACACTTTATTACAAACACCAACTGTATGATACAAAAGCTCAGTTCTAATATTATTGTTCTTGGGGATTTCAATTTGAGCAGCCTTTGTTGGAACAAGACGTCTACTCTTGCACTAACACCTATACTACAAATAGTTTGTTAAACAATGTGGTAGTGGATTTCATGTCATTAAATAATTTATTACAATATAACTCATGCTTAAACATAAAAAATCGAATTCTGGACCTTATAATGAGCTCTTTGACAATCTCACACATTTGTGAAAGTACTGACCCTCTATCCAAAATTGACTCGCTGCATCCTCCCATTGAGTTTTGTGTTGAAATCGACCATAAAGAAAATTTAAAATCCCAAGATGTAGCCAGATACCGCTTCCACAAAGCAGACTATGAAAAGATAATAAGCGGACTAAATAACATCCAATGGGTAAAAGAATTATCTAACTGTACTAGCTTTGACGACGTGGTGACATATTTCTATAAAATCCTTGGGCTTCTCAGTATCAAACATGTTCCAAAATACAAACCGCGCTCTGGTAAATATCCAATGTGGTTTTCCACTGCATTAGTTAAGTTAATCAACGAGAAACTGAAATATCGAATTAAATACCGCAAATATGGCAACCCCCGAGATTTAATCACCTTTGGAGTACTAAGGGACAGATGTACAAAACTTCATAACATAAGCTACAAATTATACATAAAGCATCGTTGTATTCTAACCCTAAACTTATGTGGAGCTTTATTAAACATAAAAGAGGTGGGACCAACTCTTACCCAGCACAAATGTCTTTCGGCACAAAGGTCGCTTCATCGGAAACAGGCATTTGCGATCTATTTGCATCTCAGTTTTCCTCGCCTTACAACACAGAAAACCTATCCACCCCAGGGCAATCTCATTTGCCACTAGGTGCTAATTACTTAACTACAATATCGGTAACTATAGACCAAGTTTTCAGAGTTTTAAAAGACTTGACCCTACTAAGGGTGCCGGCTCCAATGGAATACCTTCTATCTTTGCCATAAGATGTGCTGGAGCACTTGCTCTGTACGGCGTCTCCACTTAGTATTATTATTAATAGCTCCTTAACTTCTAGCATATTTCTAACAGCTTGGAAAACTGCTCTTGTAATACCTGTATTCAAGACAAGTGACACGAGTGCAGTAAAAAATTATATATCTATACTATATCTATACTTCCAACATTTGCGAAAGTTTTTGAATCTCTTTTGTGCCCTATAATATCATGTCACTTGAAACAGGTTATCGCACCCCAACAGCATGGCTTCGTAAAGTCACGTTCCACTTCATCTTACCTAGTTTCATTCGTCTAGGATCTTGCTGAGGGGGTTGATCACGGGAAATCATGCGATGTAATATACACCGACTTCATTAAGGCCTTCAACAGGGTAAATCAAGAAACATTGTTGCACAAACATTCCTCCATCGGAGTAGCCGGTATGTTACTGTTACTGGTGTAGATCATACCTTTCAGATAGACAATCAATAGTTGCGGCCGCAGGGTATAAATCCAAAGCATTTACTGCTATATCCAGAGTACCTCAAGGGTCTCACTTAGGTCTTTTATTTTTCAACATTTTCATCAACTTCATTGGAAAATGTTTTCAGCTGGCTTACTCTTGAAAACAATTCCGATCGATCGGGATTGGAATTATGACATTTGGTACTCTTGAAAGCGACTCTAGCGCTAAATTAGTTTAGTATTGCTTGGTGACTGTGTGAACTAATTGGGATTGGAATTGAAATTTGTCCAAGCAAAATCGGTACTCCCGACGCACTTTTGACAGTTAGTTGACAGCAGCGTATTGTGTTTGACGTTGGGTTGTAATTGGAATTAAGGCAATAGCAAAACAGTAACGTTTTAGAAATTGTGGTGAAATTAATCATATGTTTTCTGCAAGTATATTATTTTTTTTCAATAAAATTATGGCACGTTTAGCTCTTCCGGTCATTATTCTACGACGTAACCGTGCATTACAATTAAAACAAAGGCGAAATGAACGACGGATGATGCGATATATGGACAAAGCTTTTTCCATGAGTGATGATGAGTTTAGGGTTAATTACCGTGTGACTAAGGACTTTTTTGAAGAGATAATGAACGAATTAAAGCCGTATATGCAATCTCCGAAAAGAAGAAGTGATATATCACCTAAACATAAAGTGAGTGATTAAACTCTGTTTGCTTATTCCTATTATAGGTGTCTATTTAACATAAAATTATATAGGTTCTTTTATATTGTAATTTTATATATATTATTTACTGCGTTTGCAGATTTTGATAGCTTTGTCCTTCTATGTTACTGGAAGTTACCAAAAATTAGTTGGTGGAACATATGGCACATTGATGTCTCAGCAATCTGTATCTCGTGCCATCAGAGAAGTGACTGATGCTCTAAACAATCCCAATATCCTTGGAAAATGGATAAGATTTCCGCAAACACGTCAAGAAAGAGATGCTATAAAACGAAGGTACAAATACTTGCATGTACTTATTTTAAAATATTTATTGTTTTGTAACTTTGTTAATAGTACTACAAATATATTTCAGATTTTATGAAAAATTTAATATACCAGCTGTTTTGGGTTGCATTGATGGTACACATATAAGTATTGTTAGACCCACAGAAAATGAGGAGAGGTTTTTCAACAGAAAACATTTTCATTCAAGAAATGTTTTAATTGTAAGCATTTGAAAATATCTTATAATAATATTTTATGATGAAAATATATTTCATTATTTAATTTATTTCCAGATATGTGATGCTGATTTAAATATACTGTCAGTAGATGCTTCTTTTGGCGGAGCCTCTCATGATAGTTTTATATGGAACCAGCATCCAGTTAAAAACCATATCATTTCGTTGCTTAGTTCAGGAGAAAATGTGTATTTATTAGGTAAGCATAATAAAAGCGAGGAAGAATATTATGAGTGATGTTTAAATCATACCACACCATACATTGTTTATTTTTATTTTTAGGTGACTCAGGGTATGCTCAAAGGGAGTATATGATGACTCCCATACTGAATGCTGACGTGGACTCTCCTGAAGGATATTATAATAAGTTGCATTGCTCAGCTCGTAACACTGTAGAGCGAGCAATAGGTGTATTAAAAAATAGATGGCGATGTTTGCTGGGCCATCGGGTGTTGCATTATCACCCTAACACAGCAGGAAAAATAATGATCGTGTTGATGATGTAGGCCGCTGGTGTCGTCTGGGAGAAAAATATACTAAAAAAAAAATTTGGTGAGCGCGTGTACATCCGCGGGGAGGGAGACATAGGTGTCACCTCGTATGATGTTCTAGTGCAACTAACTCGAAACGCGGGATCATGTACTCAGCGGTGCAACACCGTTGTTGCAAATATACCTTCCCCTACTGATAAAAATCGCGGTAAGTGCCACCGTCCCCGTATGCACACGTACTTATTTATTATAGAAAAACAGCAAGTACATAAGGTAAGTAACAATGTTTTATGAGTATATATTTTACATATTTTATTTTTTATTGATTAATATTATTTATATTTCAGGTGTTCGAGAAGCAACGTGAGCGTCGTCAACATCCTCCCCCCCAAGTGTCGGTTCGCCGACACTCATCATCAAGCTGGAGAAAGGCCACGCGAGCAGCTGATCGCTTCATCACTCCTGACTTAGTCCTAACGTCAACTACTCTGACTCTGCCGTCTGAACCTGGATAAACTTTTTCAATAATACCTATTGGCCAACAGTTTCGAAATAATGATGGATCGACTACTACAACAAGATCTCCTACTTTTAATTGCGGACCTTCCCTATCCCATTTACGACGAGGAATTAGCTCTGGCAAAAACTCTTTTACCCATCTGCTCCAAAATAAGTCTGTCAACCGTTGGGCAATACGCCACTGTCGTCTAACATACATGTCGCCATCATCAAAGACCCCAGGTACAGGTAAGTTCGACGAAGATCCTAGTAAAAAATGATTTGGAGTTAATGCCTCTTTACTTTGAGGGTCCACCGAAACATGGGTAAGCGGTCTACTATTAATTATATTTTCGACTTCAGCGAGAAGCGTTAATAAAACTTCTTCTCGTGGAGCCCTCTCTCTAAGAACGACTTTCAGTGCCGTTTTCACACTTCTAATCAGACGCTCCCAAGCTCCCCCCATATGAGGACTGGCTGGTGGTATAAACTGCCAGGAAACTCCTTTGTTTAATGCTTCGGCTATAACTTGCTGCTGCTTAATTTCTTCAAAAGATTTTCGAAGTTCAGCATCAGCACCTCGCATGTTAGTTCCGTTGTCAGATATGACAGTATGAGGCCACCCACGGCGTGCAGCCATCCTCCTAAGTGCCATTATAAGTGAGTCTGCGGTAAGCGTCGATACTATTTCAATATGAACAGCTCGTATTGTTAAACATGTAAAAAGAACACCATATCTTTTGGGTCTCTGCCTGCCCACAGTTACTTCGATCGGACCGAATAAGTCTACACCACAAACGGTAAAAGGTCTTTGATGATGAACCAATCTTTGAGATGGCAAGTCCCCGAGGCGAGGCGGTCTTGGTGCTGCTTTTCGTATTCGGCAAACTAAACACTGTGAAGCTACGGAGCGAACTGTAGGTCTCAGATTTACAACCCAATATTTTTGTCGTAGCTCGTTTATTACAAGTTCATTATACGAATGAGCCGCACGTACGTGGAAGTCCAAAACCACCAGCCTTGCTATGCGATGTTTACCATCCAGAATCACCGGGTTTTTCATAGTTTCAGTGACGTTTGCAGCCGCGTTTATACGCCCTCCTACACGCAATAAGCCGTCTTTATCTAAAAATGGTGTCAATGAACGTAAACGACTATCACGATTAATTTCTTTATTTTGTTTCAGCAAATCAATTTCAGTCTGAAATGATTGTGATTGTGAATAGCGTAACAAAAGTACTTCGGCTCTATTCATTAACAAATTATTAATACGCCGAGTACCGGTTTTTCTACATTTTTCTATAAATAATAGTACAGATGCGGTGCAGCGAAGCAAGCGCAGCCACACGGAGAAACGGTTTGGATCCGGAATAGGTAAATCATAAATACTATTACAATTCTCCTTTGGTGATTTTATTACTACATATATTTTATCTAACAGCTCATTGTTGCTCTTTTCGTTATTTTCAGGCTCTCGGGGCCAATACTTTTCTTCCGTGTACAGAAAAGATGGACCCGTTAACCAAGAGGAGTCCTTGTTGAAGTCGTAATCATTATTTTTTGTAGCTAAATCCGCTATATTTAAATTTGTCGGCACATGATGCCACTCATCAATTTTACTTAACTCATCAATTTCACCTAACCTATTTGCAATAAAAACTTTGTAATTTCTATGCTCGTTACGTATCCAATAAATAACAATCATTGAATCAGTCCAATAAAAAACCCGTGACGGTTTAATTCTATGCTCCTTTTTTATAGTCTCTGCCAAGCGACATGCTAATAGCGCGCCTTGAAGTTCGAGTTTAGGCATAGTTAACGGTTTTAACGGCGCAACGCGACTTTTACTCGCAATGAATGACACCTGCACGCCGTTGCTGTCTTGTTTACGCCAATAAGCAACACATGCGTATGCGCATGGAGATGCATCACAAAAAATATGCAATTGCAACGACGTCTCATCGTAGTTTACGGTGTGGCCGCTCTTCTCATTCACACCGACAGAATCGTTGCTATAGAAATACCACCGCGGGATTCGAACGTAACTCATTTCTTGTAACTGCGAAATCCAATCTTTAAATAAAACAAATAAACTATCTGTTATTTCCTGATCCCACTTTATACCTACATTCCATATTTCGCGCATTAAAATTTTGGATTTTATCGTAAAAGGTGCTAAAAAACCATGAATATCATATACAGACATTATAATACGAAGAACTTCACGCTTAGTCGGTTTTCGTGATAGTTGTAAAATATCACTCGGTATACGCTTTAACGAAAGATCGAACCCGAACATATCACTCGCGGGAAACCACAAAAGCCCAAGCGTTCGTTCCGGCTGGGATTCAACATTAAACCGTATCGCCATGTCATTTAAAGTCTCTTTTGGCATATCATTAAGAACATCTGACTTGTTACTTAACCAGTTACGCATCACAAAACCACCTTGCTGATTAATATATGAAACATCTTTTATCATTTTTGTAGCAGTAGCGACGTCTGGTAAACTATCGATAAAATCGTCCATATATTGATTTTTCCTAATTGCATTAACTGCATCCGGCATTTTATTCTGAAAGCGCAATGTGTTTTTATTTTGGTTAATATATTGTGCTATAAATGGGGAGCAGTTAGCGCCAAAAATTAATGACGTCATAACATATTTCTTAACAGGATTTGTATAGGTAATTTTGAACCTTTGTTACTACTTCCGATGCCTAATTGTTCATTTTCATTGCTTAAATAGATATGTTTCCACAAAAAACGCAAAGAATTAACATCTTCTTTTCGTACATTAATCCTTAAAAACATATCTTTTATGTCCCCTATGATACCTACGCGGTTTTCTCTAAATCGTAACATTATTCCTAATAACGATTGTAACAAATCAGGGCCTTGTAAAAGAAAATCATTTAAAGAATAACCGTTCGACTTTGCTGCCGCGTCATAAACTAAACGCAGTTTTTTCTTATTTGGATTATCTACACCAAAGTGCGGCAAATACCATATTATACGTTTATTAGAGTTTTCATCGGTCTCATTAAGTTCTCTAGCATAACCATTAGAAAATAAGTATCTCATTCTTTCACAATAACGAGTTGCATACTCTTTGTTGAGCAAAAATTTTCTTTCTATTGACTTTAGACGATTAAAAGCGTTAGGGTAAGAGTCGGGTAAATGTAATTCATCGGTATTTCCACGGTAAGCCGACATTCCATTGACCATTTACTAATTCTGCAGTGTCATCTAAAATTTGTAAAGCGCGTATTTCGTCTGGGTTGCGGCGCGGCTTCGAACCTACGCCAATAGACTCTAACGCGAAGGATCTACGAACCGCATCGTGCAACTGCGCGCAGGTGCATTCTCCGTTATCGTTATCGAGAGAGAGATCGCTAGCAATCGATTCTACCGTGTGTAAGTGAAAGATACACTGCGACTGTCCCGCCTTTTCGGTGCAACTATTAATGAAAGAGACAAAGCGATCAGTGCAATTAACATCACTTACCATATATCCGTGCACACACCATCCAAGCGCAGTTTGAGTTATGTACGGCTCACGCTGCTTACCACGAACACAACGAATGGGAGAAATTAAATGATGGTTGTCCTGACCTATTAATAATTTTGGCTTAGCGTTACAATTACATAACATAAGATCTTCACTTAACAATCCATAATTATTAAAGTCCATATTCGGCACTTTTTGTGTTGGTAAATTTAATTCTTTAATTTTACGCGCACGGAAAGTAAACATTTCGTTATACGAATTGGTAACACTAACACTCACTACTTGAGATTCACACACAAGCTCGCCCGAGTCCCATGCGCTGCGCGCGCGCAATATCACGTTTGCACCGTATAATCCGAGCTCATCTGCGATATCAGAGGATATCACCGTCACGGTAGCTCCATCATCCAGTAGTGCATGCGTATGCAAACTGCCATTCGGTCCGTGAAGAGTGAGCGGCACCACTTTCAAAAGCACCTTGTGACAGTGGGATGCCACCGTATGAGTCACTGTTTCATTGGTGCTGGGATGCTCATCCTCACTTCGCTCCACAGTTTTTAAGCTTTCTTCCAATGGTTTAATCCAGTGCAGTAAACGATGATGCGGTTGATTGCAGCCGTCAATGTCGCAATTACTGCCAATACAAGACATACCATTCGTATGGCGGGGGGCAAGACATTTGAAGCAAAGTTTATTTACGCGTACAAATCGCCAGCGATCTTTGCGTAAGGCGCGCTTAAACCGTGAACAATCTGCGACACCATGAGCCCATTTTCGGCAAAATTTACACTTTTCCGCGTTTTGTAATTGATTACTATTTGTGTACAACAGCGAGTGTGAACGGTGTTTACGTTCATCGGGCTTCTTTAAATTATATTGAGCGTGAATATGACTTACTCCTGATGCAGCTGTTTTAGTGGCTTCCTCATATAAAAAATCACTAAGCAATTCTAGCTTCGGTAAATTACACTCTCGCTGTTCATAAACGTAGTCGGTCCATTTTGCGACAAGCAAAGTTGGAAGCTTAGATACGACAATCGATACTAACTCCGGGCTGCGAAGATAATCACTTTGTTGCATTGCTTTGGCAGCAGCCACATAGTTCTTTATTTTTATTGCAAAATTAATGATATCATTATGATAAGTTAACGGCAACGGACATAGTTTTTTGTTAAGCTGTAAAACTATTTTACTCATAATTGTTTCTGGTTTGCCAAATCGAAGTTCTAAGGTGTCAATTATTAAATCGGGTGTAGTTCCACCAATCAAGAGTGAAGTCACTGCTTCTTTAGCATCGCCACGAAGACACTTACGTAGCCGCCATAAATTCTCTGTGTCACTATATTTGCATAATTGGGTAGATTCTTGGTACGCCTGTTTAAACTGCAACCACTCCATTGGATCTCCAAAAAATAAAGGCAGGTCTTTAGACGTTGCTAATCTTGTTAAGAGCTCCTGGTTCTGTATTTTATATGATGAGGCAGCCACTGCATCATTCAAGGCATGTGCCAGCTTTTCTAGGCCGATTTTTTCACAAGAGTACTCTTCTCGGTTCTCCTCATGCTGGTTTCCTGGAGCATTCAGCCAATTTTCAACTTTGCTGGTCGAAGATTTCATAGCCGACTTGTGGGAAGAGCGTGAATGAGACTCCAATTCTGCCATCTCAGCTGCAAGCTGTTTGTTTAGCAGCTTCGACTGAATATTTGCCTTAAGCTTGGCAGCTTCTGCCTGAGCACTCTTAACTTTGGCTTCTGCTTCAGCTGCTTGCACTTCAGCTTCCGCTGCTTGTATTTCCACGAGAGCCATAGCTTTAGCGGTTTCGTATTCCAATTGCCGTTTGCGTGCCGTACTTGACGACGTGCCTGCGGTCTTTGATGACTTTTTACTCTTACTAGAGGCACTTAGCGCATTTCCAGGTTTTTCCAGCACTTCATCCTTTAAGCTGAACGATGGTAACACATCTTGGTTGTTCTTGCACTCCGATTTTGCAGCGGTGCCACGTGGTCGTCGCTTTTTTTGCGGCGTAGCCGGCGCGTGGAACATAACTGGTACTTATTATTATTATATTTTTGCAGACGACGTAAGGATTCGGCCGAAGGACCACTATGTTGATGATGTAGGCCGCTGGTGTCGTCTGGGAGAAAAATATACTAAAAAAAAATTTGGTGAGCGCGTGTACATCCGCGGGGAGGGAGACATAGGTGTCACCTCGTATGATGTTCTAGTGCAACTAACTCGAAACGCGGGATCATGTACTCAGCGGTGCAACACCGTTGTTGCAAATATACCTTCCCCTACTGATAAAAATCGCGGTAAGTGCCACCGTCCCCGTATGCACACGTACTTATTTATTATAGAAAAACAGCAAGTACATAAGGTAAGTAACAATGTTTTATGAGTATATATTTTACATATTTTATTTTTTATTGATTAATATTATTTATATTTCAGGTGTTCGAGAAGCAACGTGAGCGTCGTCAACAGATTGCTTGTTGTGTTTTACACAATATGTGTAATAAAAAAAGATCTCCTGCATGAAGTGTTAGAGGATAGTGCAATTGAAAGAGATGACTCAGTAGATATCGCTATCCCTGAAGAATTTTTAAATATTACATTGGCTGATGAACTAAGGCGAGGAATTGTAAAAAGAGCTGCCTTAGTTCAACAGCTCTTTGCTGCTAGGACAATGTAATATATAAAATATTAGTTACTTTGTATTATTAATTATGTATTATGTTTTAATTAAGTATAATTGTATTCTTATTGTTTCTTTTGTGTATATTATAATAACTAAATGAATATGATTTAAAAAAAACGTAGTCTTGCTTTTTGTGTACCTTAGTGTAATTTAAAAGAAAACCCCAATACCTGTTTTAAATGTATAATTATTGATATGTATTAGAGACTACATATGTGATTTACAAAGATTAAAATAGTTATTTTGTATCTTAATTTTAACTTTTATAACTTAATATTAATGCAATAGTTATTTTGTATCTTAATTTTGTGATTTCGAAATAAAACTGCAAAAATGTTGAACCAAATATTTTATTTAATAAACACAAATATTTCAAGAGAAAATAATTACACAACTTTTTTAAAATATTATAAAACAAAATTTACTGACCTTTATAACCTATATAAACTAGACCTAGGAGTTATATAAGTAAGATTCATTGTTAAAAAATAGCCATAGCCATATCTTACATGAAATTATCAAAAATATGTTGATTTTAATTTATAATATATGGTTAAAATTTAAAATCAAAATTAACAAAATTGCACTTTTTACTTTAACAAATAAGTTGTTACTGCAATGGAAATTAAATAAAAACAAAAAAAAAATTAAACATGAAAACAGCAATAAAAATTTAAATTCTTTTTATTTTAAGTTTCCTAGAAATGCTATTTGTTGTCATTGCATTTTTTTGCAAATTCTATAATAGCATTGTTAATGACAGCAGATAAACCCTCCAAAGCTCTGTCTATATTTGCAACAGCAACAGCATTGCGATCTAATGCCGCAGAAACATCTGCAAAAGCTTGTGCGGTTATATTTTCTGCCCTGACACGCTGCTCCTCAATTTGTACCAGCCGTTCCATGTCTTTATTATTTCTTGTGACAGAACGACATTGCCTGACATGTGGCATGGATTTAAGTTTTGATTCTGAAATAAAAATAATTAATATTATTTTTAATAATATTTAATATTTTAAAAGTGATGTTTCTGATATAAATGCATCCAGTCCATGACCATAAAATATGGGCATTTAATATTGAGATCGAATATTTTAGATTGAAAGTTTTAAGCATCACAAGAGTTTACAAATATCTTTAAAACTTATTGAAACACTTTTACCCACTTAAGAAAATGACATGCTTAACATGTTACTTATTTATTTAAGTAATGAAAGGTTGACAAAAAATCAGTGGGTGAACCTTTTTAAGTCACTTATAACTTATAAGTATAATGTCTACAAATTGCAAGTCTGTTACCACATGAAGCTAAAGGGACTATAATATATTATATCATCATCACCATGATTGCAGCCCTTTACAAGTGCACTGCTGGTCCTAGGCCCCCAACCATAAAGCAAGGTCATAATATTCTTAAATTTCATAAATTAAAAATGGTGCTAAATTTTGGTTAATGTTAGTCACATTCTAGTTTTGGTTAATGTTAGAAAATTAAAGGCCGGCAAAGCACCTGTAACTCTGGTATTGCAGTTGTTCGTGGGTGGCGGTCACCACTATCAGGTGAGCCACATGCTTATTTTCTACTCTTCTATAAAAAAATTACTTACTTTTACGCGGAGGTGATTTGTAGTGTATCCTGGGAGGTGCCAGGAATAGGGGAAGTACAACTTCCTATCACCGCTGCTTGATTTTCTAAACCTAAATTTACATTTTCTGCTGGTGAAGCCACAGGGACTGATTGTGTCATTTGATGTTCCTAAAATTTACAAACATATGAGTATAAAGATGTATTTATAAGGCTACAGAGATAATACAAATTTTCTTATAGACTAACAAACATTATATTTAAAAGTTTAACTATGTTTACAAGATCTTTATGAATAATTACCGTGTGGTGAAAAGGATCAACTGCAAGTTGAGAATCTCCAACAGCAAACTCTTGACCACCCATAACTGCCACCAATCTCCTATCCAAGTCTGATAACATGGGCAGGTCATCAGCAGAACCACCACCAGTGCGTCTCATTTGCTGTGCTGAGCACACAATTTTTTCAAGGCACATTTCTTCTCTGCCCAATACTAAAAACGATAGATAATTTATTTAAATATACCTAACAGGTAAAAAAACAGTATTTATATTTTATATAAACTTAAGACTTACTTTAGCCCAACCTTGCCCATTTTTGTTTGCTCCTCCCAATGAATTTAAAGTTATAGCTACAGATGCCCATTGTCTCTTTATTTCCATTTTTGCTTGATTTGTCCGTAGCAGACCTTTCGCAATTCCGACGTTTTGTTCCAAAAATTCAACTAAGGTTTCAATTTGTGCTGGAGTTGGATGATTAGTCATGTTATAATGTTAAATTGATGATGAACAATTTCGAAATAATCAGTACCAAACTGCACCAGTCTTTAAGTACTTCAACATATATAAAAATAAAAACTTATTTTAAAATCACAGAACCCTATTTTAAGAATGAGAGGAATGAGTTATGGATTATTTTCAAGTACCTATAGTAAAAAAGGGAAAGGAAAGCACTTTACAGCCTAAAGAAACATTCAAAGTTAATAAATCAAGCTGTTTTTACAAGAACCGTGTGAACTGATGTTAAGTTTGTCGAAAAACACTTCATTATGTATTTTTGTAATTTAAATGCTCATTTGTGAAAGTTACGATGGATTTCAACAACTAGCAGCAACTTCACCGGTTATGCGAAAAATAAAACACTGAAATTGCTTTTTTTTCGGAATCTAAATTAAAAAATATCTACTTATAAATTCTTAAAAAACATTGTTATACTTACTTCCTATCCTTGACCATTATTATTTATTTTGTTCCTCCTAATTAGCTAACAGTGCCCATTTCGTCTGTTTCATATGATGCTTAATTGTGTTAATGCGGTAATGAACTATTTCAAACTGTTTATAGTTATACCCAAATTGAAAGGTCTATTAGTAATTCATTGTACACATACTTAAAAAGCACTTCACCTTTAAACTTAAAAAGAGTTCTTCGAAAGTTGATATTTGTTTACTTTGTTTCATGATCGTCGTGATAACAATTTTTTTCTGACAATAAAAAATGAGGCAAAGACACGCTCCTATACAGCCTTATAATTAATTAAAACTCGCAAATATAGCGTTTTCTTAAAAGAATTGTATGAAAAGATGTTATGTTTGACGAATTACACCATTTATTAAGTATTTTTACTACTTAAACGCTCGTTTATGAAAGTTACAAAGGATTTATTATGACTTTACCGGTTTAACGATAAATAAAACATGCCTGTTGCTTAGAGTAACGCAGCTAACTTCATGTGGTACAACAAAACTTTTGGCCAATCCGAGCAAAATTCCGATTTCAATCCAATGTTGTCAAAATTGTTTTCAAGAGTACGCTAATTTTAATTTAATGTCAATCCAATGTTGCGTTAAAATTTCTAAAAAAAAATTTTAACGCAACATTGGATTGACATTGGATTGAAATTGATATTGGATCGAAATTGTTATTGGATTCAAGAGTAAGCAGGCAGGACTCTAAATTCTCAATGTTCGCTGACGACTTAAAATTTTATAGAATAGTTAACTCATCTGATGATGCATTATTACTGCAGAGGGATTTAAATAATTTAGCGATGTGGTGTACTGAGAACGGAATGAGCATGAATCCTGATAAATACCAAGTAGTGCGATTCAGCAGAAAGAGACATTTACCAACCAGACTCTGTCATATCAATGATATGCGACTAAGAAAGGTTAGCCACATTCGAGACCTACGAGGCATCATTGACAGCAAACTACGCTTCAATATTCATATTGACAATATTATAAATAAGGCTCTTAGAATGTTGAGCTTTGTCCTTCGAAACTGTAAAGAATTTAGGAATCCCATGACAAAAATTACAGTATATAACTGCCTTGTATGTAGTATGTTAAAATATGGCAGTACTGTGTGGAATACGCACTAAGGTACATATCAAACGATTAGAGAGTGTATAAAAGCGATTTTTATGGCATTTGTCCTATAGTTGCAACTTAACCAAGAAACTCCCAAGCTATAACGATCACTACTACATTTTCACCTCAAATCACTCCGACATCGTAGGGAACTACTTGACGTCATTTTTCTGTATAAGCTGATAAATGTAAATTTTGACACCCCTGCCGGGCTAGCATGAGCAGGGGATAAAAATTTTATCCACCGATTATATCCACTGACAAGGGATAAAATTGTCTTATCGCTATGTCAAAACTTTATCCACCCTGCGAGCATGGGCCTATGGTGGATATAATATCGACAGTAGATAAACTTATCCCCGCGCATAGATAATATACCATAGTATAAAGCTATAAACTATACTAGTTACCTAGGTGGATTGAAAAATACTCGGCCTAACACAGATCCATTCAATTCTAAAAATCAAATCTACCCACATTATTTAGTTCAGTTCAGACTAGTTCATTGTGTGAAGTTCGAAACGTGTGTGATAATTACTTGTGATTTTATAAATTTATTAACAAAGTAATCGGACATAATTTCCGCGAATGGAGCAAATCGAGCAGCGTGCCGTCATTAAGTACCTCCATAAGAAGGGGCTATCATCAAAAGCCATCCATGATGACATGGTCAGTACATTAGGCGATTGTGCTCTGTCATATTCATCCGTCAAAAAATGGATAGCAGAATTTAAGCGTGGTAGAGAGTGTGTGAAAGATGAACCCCGCTCTGGAAGGCCTTCGACGTCAACTACTGACGAAAATATTAAAAAAAGTACTTGATTTAATAATGGGAGATCGCAGATTAAAAATTAGAGAGATAGCCGAGATTATAGGCATCTCTTATGAACGAACTCAAAACATCATTGTCAACGAGTTGGGTTTCCACAAGGTGTCTGCGAGGTGGGTTCCGCGACTGCTTTCAGTTGAACAAAAAAGGACGCGATTGACTATTTCACGCGACTGTTTGGAGTTATTTGAAGCCGATGCAGATGATTTTTTGAATCGTTTTGTTACTATGGACGAAACATGGGTTCATTACTGTACACCGGAAACAAAACAACAATCAAAACAGTGGAGAAGACCTGGTTCACCACCCCCTAAAAAGGCTAAGTCGTTTTTGGCGGCAAATAAGGTGATGGCTTCAGTATTCTGGGACTCGAAAGGTGTGAGTATGATTGATTATCTTGAAAGGGGTCAGAATATAAACTCTGATTACTACTGCACCTTACTACGTCGTTTACGAGAGGAAATAAAAGAAAAACGTCGAGGAATGCTCAGAAGAAAAGTCCTGTTTCATCAAGATAACGCCCGTGTTCACATGTCAGTACAGTCAATGGCTGAAATTCACAACTGTGGCTTTGAACTGTTACCGCATTCGCCGTATTCACCTGATCTGGCACCATCAGACTTCTTTCTGTTCTCTAACCTAAAAAAGCACTTGGGAGGTCAGATTTTACACAAACGACGAGGTCAAAGCAGCTGTAGACGCATATTTTGACTCTAAGGAAGAATCATTTTTTTTCAACGGTCTAAATGCTTGGAAGGGGAGGTGGCAAAAGTGTATTGAACTTGATGGTGATTATGTAGAAAAATAAAAATATAACTGATTTAGTATGTGTTTATTTTCTTGGTTAGGCCGAGTACTTTTCAATCCACCCTCGTATAAACTAGTTTTAAGATTAAGTAGATTTACATTAACTTATATTTTCTTTTACCTTTTGTTTATTATATAGCTAAACTGCTCATAATTTTGTTAAACAATATGTCATTTATAATATTTGTTATATTTATTTTAAGCGTATTTCTGCCTTGTTTTTATTTTTTCTATTATTCTAATTCTTTCTTTATATTTAAGTTTATATTTAATTTAAATATACATTGCTTGTATCAAATCGCAGGTATTACTTCGCTTGTGATAGCATTTATTAAAAAATATGTGTTTAGAATTAAGCCAATTGTGAAACTGGACAATACAGACCCTTGGAGGTGGTGTAACCTCTTGAAGAAATTAAAAAAAATATATCCCCGCAATTACCGCCATTATAAAAAAAATTACAAAATACATCAAAATTGATATCTATTCTAAGTCACAAAGATTTAATTTTAATTGAAAATGATGAAGCATGAAGAATAAAAATGTAATGATTTCAAACAAAACAAGGAATAAATAATTTTATAATCATGAGCATAGTATATTTAGTAAGCTTTCCTAAAGAATTAACATATTTCTTAATTTAAACCTTTGAATTGTAACTTTACTAAGTTTGATAACTTTATTTTAAAACGTTATAATACTTACCTAAAATATAGTATAGACCGATTCTATTATCATTAAATTTGACTTGACCACGGACTCGTCTTGGGTATTGTTGACACAACCTATGTAATTAAATCATGGCATTGAGCTATTGAGACTTTTTTGGACAAGGTGGTTGTAATAGATGCTTACTTCAATATGCACTGGTAGTCCATCCACAGAATTAATAGGCTTTAAAGCCTCATAGAGTTCTTTACACAAATACAAAACAATCTTTGAGCATCCGAACCGGCGTAGAAATTCGTTGTCGGAGAATTCCAATAGATTAAGTATTCTGATCACGTATCGATCGCTGATGTAATTCTCTTTCTTGTTTTTCAATTTCTGACACGAAAATGTAGTTGCAATAGGCTCGAGACATCTTTTTTGTATTAAAATGGTTTGAAGACAAACTTAAACCCCACGTCCGCGAAAGAGGATAAAATTGTCCCTTTCAAATGTCAAAAAGGGATAATTTTTTCTCTTTCCCTTGGCCCCATGCTACGTACGGGGAGATATGCCACTCGTTATGTCAAACGGGGATATACTATAGAGATAAGATAATTTTATCTCTTGTCAGTGGATATAATCGGGGGATATAATTTTTGTCTCTCGCTCATGCTCGCAGGGTGGATAAAATTAAGCAAGGGATAAAATATATCCTCTCTCCGGGGATATATTTTCTCCGGCTCAAGCTAGCCCGGCTGATCTTTTATCTAGTGTAAATATTGCTGTACCTAGAAAGTCATACAGACTTAAGAAACCTCCCTTTAAAAGTTATCCAGCTACGTCGTTATGCTCCATTAAACAGAGCGATGAGGAGTTACAATCTCATTGACAACTCTGTATCCAGTGAAACAGAAAAAAGATCTTCTCAGCTAAATATTTTCTCAAACTCCTTAACACAATTTAAAAATTTTGCAGATCAAGTAATAACAGAAATAATTCGATTATTATGTACGATAGGTAACTTTAATTTGAATATGTGTGAGCGTTATTTTTATTTTTTTTTCAATTTTTAATTTTGACTTATAAATTTTTATTTTAGTGACATC